GCATTTGTTTTTCAAGCAATACTAATTTACACTTTATCAATAATATTCTGGTATTTCACGCATATGTATTGCGTTTTTTTTAAATAAATATATATAATTATTCTTGTTTATTTGATTTATGCTTTCATATAATTATGTATTATATATTAACTCAAGTTTATAATTAATTAGTTTTAATTAATTTTGTATGGACCCCATACACATATGGACAGTATGTGATGGCGTAGTGCTAGCACACTCGACTCGCGAACGATTTCATCTGGGTTCGAGCCCTGGTAAGGGAGGATTGACGGTGCCAATTCCTAACTGCTCACGCCTATTCATAGCAGCAATTGGGGACCTGGTTGTTAACCGAATGGCGGTCCCTGTTTCAGGGAAAACTAGTAGTGTAAGGCTTAGCATATGCTATGGGAAGGGAAAGTTATAAAAATAGCCTGCTAACAGGAGTCATTATAATAAAAACTGTGGACGGCGTCGGAAATGTTAGTCATTACAGTTAGTTCAGTTCATTTATTATGCACCCCATACCCATCTTGTGGGCGGTAGTGGAAAGGGTTACAGAGGCACATAATGGGCTCAAGGACTGAACCCCACAATTCATTTAACTAAGCAAGTTACAAAATTCAAATTCAGACTAATGTATTCAGGAACTCTGGTGTTTTTTTTTTTATCTTAGACAAATTTACCAGTTAGTAAATTTGCATATTTCTGTCATGCATTCCACACCCATTAGGATGCGGTGGATAAGCTACATTAATGGGGGACCTTCGACAAGCCGTGGGCTTCCTGTCCTCGTCGAGGCCCTTAGTGTTAGTGGCTGTCAGGTATATTGAGGAAGTACATAAACTTGGGACTTTGCCAGATCCTGCTGGGTAATATATTTATTTTGCAAACGAAATACATTTTTTTGAATCTTAATTATAGAGTTGCCTGTAAATTCTTGTATTTATTGTAATAATTATAGCGTTGTGTCTAAACTGTTTGATATTTGTCTTGATAAACTGCGCATAAGACTTGATTTAGTTGTGTGAGGGAAAGTGTTTATCCCGGCGGAGCCTGAGGTAAACAAGGCCCAGCAACAAGCTTTGCCGGGAGGCGGCGCTCACACAGGTCCGCTAACTTTATAACCCCCTTCCTTACTCTCTGCTCTCTCTCTCTCACCACTACCGTATGAGACAAGTGGTGGGGGGAGTTTTATTACGCGCCCACTTAAAATTACTGTATTAAAGCGTACACACGCGAAATTGGATGGCCGGTAAAGTAAGTGTCGTGGATGCTTAAATGATTTTTTTTTGTGTCGGCGGCTCTTCCGCTTTGATATTGCGTTATTTTCACAGAGCAAGAGAATGGTGGTGTATGTTCCTTACATTCTGTGAGAGAAATAGCACTTGATTCGATAACCCAGCATCACCTGATAACCTGATGCAACATAAGTTCATTACATAACCAAACCAAACCTGACCTTCTTACCTAACCTTGCCATCTTGGCTAAAATTAACCCAGCTTCACTAGAGCTTGTCTCGTTCTATGCAGTATTGAATTCAATGCCATGATGCTTACTCATGCACAGTGGGGAAAATCTCCATGAAACTTGCCTTTGATTAAAACAGCACAGTATTGTAATTGACAGTAGTACTTTTGTTTATTGCATTGGTTTTTATCACATTTATTATTGTTAATACAAAATGTAATTTAATATTTTTCATCTTGTAATTGTTGTGGGCATTGTGTTGGCTTGGTCATTAAACAGTCTTCATCCATAATATTTCCAGATTCATGCCAGTCACACTTCTTGTCTTGACTCCAAAACAAGTTGTCTGCTCTTCAAACTTCTCTAGTGAAATAATCATTCTTGATGCATCCATTAGCCACAATGTCTGCTGGTGTTAAGCCCTGGGCAACTTTGGTAAATCTTTCCATGTTTTCTTATATATTTTGAGTGACCAATATTGTCATCTAGTAGTTTAATAAAACTCCTCTCTAGTTTTCTCAATTGTGTGTAAAGTACTGTATTTCATTTGTCAAATATTTTAAATTAATTCAAAATCTATATTCCTGAAGGCTATACAGTATAGTACATTTATAGTTAACCTTGTCTACAAAATAAAGCACATTGAAGTATACATATACAGCCCATCCTCCTGTTTTGGTAGTACTTATAGTAACGATGAGGACCATAGTACTGTACATATACCGACATAAAACACCATTAGAAAGTAGAACTCGTTACTTTTCTTGTTTGTCCAAATTCAATAGTAAAGATTTTCTATTTATGTTGCAAAGACAAACGAAACTAACCTAACCTTCCCAGGTCTTGATACACAATATCAGAGGCCTAATATAGTACATGTGTGCCTAGGAATATTTAAGTTTGTTTTTTAGCTTTTATGTTTTTGGTATAAGTGAATAGTAGCAAATTCTATATAATTGCTTAGTATGTCAATCTTTGTACTATGGTGCACATATTAATACAAATTACTATCTAAACAGGAGGATGGGTTGATACACAGTTTATGCATGATAGTACTGTAGTGGTTATAGTACTATTATTATAGATAGTAATACATTAATTGTACATAATATATCAAACAAATGGTATTAACTGGAAACATTTGTTAAGCAAGAGTGCAGTAAATATAACAATTATTTATAAAAACTTTACTGAGCTCAAGTATAATCATATATAATACTATACCTGTATAGTTATATAATCAACAAACTTTATATTAATAGTAGCTTTGAAATATTGAACAAATACAAAACTATGGAAGCATTACTTCATATAACCTTGAGCATAATATGGAGGCAAAGATTTGTCTCATCAGTATTAAACTACACATGTGGTGACTGAATAATGTACTCAGATGAGAACAACATTCCACACTACTTGTGTGTCACTGAATAAAGCTTTCATTTTTTACCTAATGAGTGGATGATTTACCCAAAAGATTAAAAGCTAAAACTATTATTTGAGAATGATGTTCATATTTTGTGATTGTGAATGGATTTTAGTTAAGGTAAAGTAGTTAATAGAAATAAAGAGGCTGGTCTAAAGTAGATGACTCTTTTACTGTAGAATGACAATGCAATATTGTGCTGTGGATTATTGCTTACAGAAGGTTGTTGTAACTTTCAACATAGATCACCATGAGTATGGGTAGAAATATCCAGTGTTTTCTCAAGCTCTTTCTCCATTCATAACAAATAATGTTATGATTAGTCAAGAACAAATCTAATATACTGTACATGTTTATACGGATGAAATAACATTAAAATGGGGTAATATAATTACTGTATTTGGCTGACAGATGGCGCTATGGTGACCGATTTCTTTGGCTTGGCTGAAATTTCGTCCAAAAACATTTTATTTTTTAAGTAGAGGGTACAGATTCAGAATTCTTCTGACTATTCTTTGCAGGCTAAGAGCTCTCCTTTCCACAGCTCATCTGAAGCCATGCCCTACTTGTTTTCCCCAGAACACAATCCACAAATCGTGCAACAACCAGGTCCCCATTTACTGCTGGGTGAACAGGGGTGAATAGTGAAGGAGAGGTGCCGACTCGTCTCTCCCTGCTCAGCACTTCGACCTGGGTCTTTTTCGTTTGCGTGGCGAGCAGGTGAGGTCGCTAGTCACTACACCGCAGGGTGTTGTAGCAAAATAGGTACTGTGGTGTAATTTTTGTAGATAAATTTGTAATCTTGTTCAAATTATACCATAAGCTTTTTAAAATAATATTAAATATACACAGTATTTTATTCCATTGGAAAACAAAAATGGTAGTTCAAGTGCCTGTGGACCAGTGTTCTTACTCTATGCATGAGAGTTAGCATATGTGTGTAATTACCTAAGTGTAGTTACAGGATGAGAGCTACGCTCGTGGTGTCCCGTCTTCCCAGTACTCTTTTGTCGGATAACGCTTTGAAACGACTGACGGTTTTGGCCTCCACCACTACCTCACTTAGCTTGTTCCAACCATCTACCACTGTTTGCAAAAGAAAACTTTCTAATTTTATTCAGCATCTTTGTTTCCTTAGCTTGAATGTGTCCTCTTGTTCATGATGTTGCTTGTTTCAGGAATTCCTCCTTGTCAGTTTGGTCAGTTCCTCTTAGTATTTTGTAAGTGGTGATCATATCACCTCTTTTCCTTCTATCTTCTAGTTTTGGCATTTTAATGCCTCTAGTCTCCTCGTAACTTGTTTTCAGTTCCGGAAGCCATTTTGTAGCATGTCGTCTGCACCTTTTCCAGTTTCTTTGTGCTTCTTGAGATTTGGGCTTCTTGAGACTAGGCTGCATATTCCAATTATGGTTTCACAAGTCATGAACAGTTTCTTTCGTATATCACCATCCATATAATTAAAAAGCAAGTCTGAAGTTGGAAAATGATGCATATGCTCCTCTCACAATGTTATTTGTGTGTTCCTCTGTCGACAGCTTACTATCCAAAACCACCCCTAGATCTCGTTCTTTATTAGAGTTTTTTCATTCCTTTTCAGATAATTTGTAAGTTGTGTGCTTACTCCCTCCTTCCTCTCAAGTTTGTATAGTAATCTCCTGTTTGGTACTGTATCAAAGGCTTTTTGGCAGTCCAGAAATATGCAACCTACTTATCTTTCCCTGTCTTGTCTTATTCTAGTTACTTTATTATAGAATTCCAGAAGGTTTGTTCGGCATGATTTCCCTAACCTGAACTTATGTTCGAGTTAATTTACGTATTTAATTCTCTTTAAATGTGTAACTAGTCTTAACCTGATTATTCTTTCAAGTACTTTGCAGTGGTTGCTTGTCAGGGGATACTACTGGTCTGTAAGTGCTTCTTCTCTTATCTCCTTTCTTAAAAATTGGTATGACATTTGCTTTCTTCCAGCAACTGCACAATTCTCCCTTTATAAGTGACTCATTAATGATCCTTGCTAGAGGCACACTGAAGGCTTTCCGCCGAGGGCCTGTGACATGTCCACCTTGGTCAGCAGTCGGAGTGTGTGTGTGTGTATTTAGTTTTAAAGATAATTTTATAATTAGTATACATAATGAAAAATTGTGATAGTATCTTGTTAGTTGTTTATTTACATATGATGAAATTTTACAGAATTTTTATTTTTTTATTTTTCAGTCATGTCTGGCTTGCAATGGATGATGATGGCCAGAAACAGAGACTGCTTGACGTAATAGGGTGAGTGTCTTTCACTAAACCTATTAGTAGTCTTGAGTAAGCCTATGATTATCCTTATCTTAGCCTATAAGTTTTTCTTATAAATATTTCTGTCCAGTAATGTTTGAATGAAGTGGAGAAAATCTTAGTTTTCAAGTGCACATCAAAAAGATTACAGCAAATATTATTGCATATTATTGTATACACCACCGGAATGTTCTACCATCAGCTAGAATGGAATATTAAGTACTCGCCTAGTTGTGCTTGCGGGGGTTGAACTCTGGCTCATTGGTCCCGCCTCAGGTGTGTGTGTGTGTGTTTATTATTGTAGAAGTATATAGATGATGGTAGAAATGATATAGAAATAGTGAGGATGAACCTTTTGGAAGCACTGTAAGAGTATATTAATGGGGAAGTGTTTCAAAAGTGAATGAGACACGTTAAGAACAGTGGGGCATGTGCGCACCTTTGCTGGTGTTGTTCGTTACTGTATGGGAATCGTTTATGGCAGTTCTCCTTTACTCTTTATAATAACACATAGACAAATGGAAAATATTTTGCATCATTAATATTAAACCTTTAAAATGTAATCAACTATTTTGATTGCACTATTAATTTTGTTAATTTTTTCATTACAGAGATCCCCATTTACTAGAAACATTCTTAGAAAATTTTCCCAGCTCGGTAAGTTTTCTTTCTTTTGGCTTGTGCATTTGTAAATGTTTTGTTTTTATTTCCTGTTTTCATGTGTTGCTCTCTCATTACCAAACCTGAAGGCAAGGGTTTCTACTGTATAGTTTATTAGGAAATGAGGAGGAGTTAGTATCTAGGGTTTTACATGCCTCTAGCACCCCATCGGGCCATTAGAAGCGACTAGCCGGCCCTTAGGGAGGGGGGTTTAATATGCAATCATGTGGTCCATTGAGTTATAAGAAGGAAGGGGGGGTCCATTTTGCTATAAGATGGTGTCCATTGTAATTCAGGGGAAGTGGGAAGTAGGGGGGGGGGGGGGGATAGTTTACTGTCATTTGCTAGCAGTACTTGACACTAGGGGAAAGGGAAAGGGGGCTGTCACCACTCTTTGTTTAACACATTGAGAAGGCTTTTTTTTTACTCGTCTTACTCTGATAACACTAGAAAATACTGAAGCGAGCAAACACTATGTCATGACTTCCAGCAGAATTGACTCTGGGTACTGATGAATGAAATTATGTGAACTGACATGCACATTTAACACTCGGTAGAATGAAGATTTAACCACATGCCAGAAGATGAGGAGACGACATTTTGTCGTCTTCTCATCTTTGAAATTGTGAAAAACTACCACTCGCCCAGTATTCAATGTGTGAATTTCACTCTCCACAAATCACATACTGTAACTTTGAAAAGGCAGATGTATAATTCATGTATAATTTGACATTTATTTTCACTCATTTCACTTAATCTATTCATATAGCACAAAGCACAGGGACAGTCATACATATAAAAAGGTAACCCCGGCTACAAAGAACAACAATGATCGGCTGATGCCATCAACACAGCATCCAGTTCTCGCTGCTGAATGACTAAGTCTTGCTCTAAAATATGCCTAGTTCCTTCGTCACCTTTGCATCAACTGTCAACAGCAATACTCAAGCCTTAACAAATTATAATGCTTGATGTGTCAGTGTGAGGCATCTCCCAACATCGGCACTCGTGCAGTCATTGGAGGAGAAAACCTTGAGGCAAACTACGTGCATCATAAAGTAGTTGTTGTACTCAGATGTTTATAAGTCGGGGACCTCCCTGTAATGCTTAATAAATACTTTTTTTAAAGTCAGATATTTAAATCACTGTGTAAAAAAAAAAAAGCATAAATTTTAAATAGAGATCAGAGTTGTAAAAATTTCCAATTGGATGACACTGTCATTGCATCAGAAAGCTATATACAGTAATGGGGACAGAGAGTACAGTGCCATCTTGATGCAAAAGTGTGAAGAATGCTCTAAATGTGTTTTTAATCGGGGAGGGGAAAGGGGGTGGTCCTCGCCAACTGGTCTGATGGATGGGGGTGCTCTGCCGGAACCCCCTAAAGTGATAGGCTTCCACTTCTGGCAGTAGCTTAGTTAATGATTAATGTTAAGAGGGATATGACTAGGAAGAGATGTTGGAGGTACTGGGATAGCAATTAGACTTCTTTAAAACCAAATTCTATGGTTGGCTGTTATTTTGTATTTAACACATTGTTATTAGTACAGTACTGATGACTTGTATTATCTGCAAGCACTTGTAGGTTCAAACATTGACTGAACAAAATGTGCCGATAGGCTTCAATATATTTATAGCATAGATTTGGACTGTGAAGGTTATAATTGCATGTATTTTTGGAGTTACCATATCTGTATATGTTGTATGTACTGTACATGTATGAATATGTCATGTAATGAAAGTGTGCATAAAACTCGTTAGCTTAGCATCCTTCACTGATTTCATAAATATCCTCTGCAATACAAGTAGATACTGTTATTGACATCACTTTAATGCATTTGTTTTTCTGAGCTGCATTTGGTTTCCTTCAGGCAATAATTGCTATGTCCTCTGGACAAGGATTATGGACAGTCAAACGGGAGACATTCTAGGCACCGACTACACAGGAAACTTTACAAACGGGCTCTGGAGTCGACAGAGGAATAATTGGATACTCGAGAAAAAGTCAATTCAATCCTTAATGACCACAGGAGTTTATTCCATATAAACTCGAATACAAAAATACAATACAAAAACTATATATAAAAGTTCTTCCTTGGGGTTGTATGTGACCACCAAATGAGGTCTTCACTTAACAACCAATTTCTTGCTCTTCCGTATAAAGTCATTCCAAATACGTTATTCCCAACACGGACCTCAAATCCCATTCTCTACACATTTTTCCTTACTGTACTTGATAAGGTTTGCAGGCTAAGCTCGGGTATCTCAATCTTTCCCGCATAACGTAATAGATGTAGAATCCCTTGATTGTTTCAAATGTAGGTTAGACATATATATGAGATTGGGTGATTGTAAATAGAAGCTGCCTTGTATGGGCCAATAAGTCTTCTGTGGTTACCTTCATTCTTATGTTTCTGCTTTGGTTCTCTTGCTGAAGGTCAGCCAACAGCTGTATTTATACTATTCCAGACTCTGCTATTTGTGCATCTGTAGTTTTTCTAAGAGGGCCCCTCCCACCCTTTGTGAATCCTTGAGCTACCCTACCTGGGAACTGCCAAATCTTGCATAGCACACCAGGCTCTTAAGATTCATGAACACTACCAGAGACTGGTACCAAAATCTGGCCCACTCAGAGGTAAAGGGAGTATGGGGTGCTAGCTACCACAGTAATCCGAAGTAAAATCCCTCTGGGAATGGTGTTGGTGCTAGCAGATTTGTCTTTTCTCTCCTAGCTCTTTATGAATTCTTATTGTATGCCTTATACTTGAGAGGCAGAGCATCTTAGTTTTCTTTCATTCAATTGTTTACTCAAGAATAGATTTTCGTAATTGTTTGTGGGTTTGGCAAATTATTTTAATAAGACTTCAGTCTATGTTGCATCAAGCAGCTAAACTAATACTGTACAGCATTTCCATTGGTAGCTGCCAATACAGTACGTACTGTAATCCCTATTTGTATGGGCTACATTGACTTTTGGGTGAAGGCAAGGATTGAGTTTACACCAAATTAATCGACATTCAAGGCTATACAGTTTTAATGAACTGATACATTGGGCTGATATGCTTATATTTGTTACATCTGGCTCTGGAATTACTGTGACTTGCAATGGGCATCTACAGATTGAGCCTCATGCTATTGTAGTGAGTCATTTGCTGAAATAGACTATTCTTGCATAGTTCTTCAATTGTTTGACTGGTTGCCCATATCTGTTAAGTCTCAATGAGTCTGTTCAGAAGTGTTAAGTTGCAGCTGAAGGCACATATCTTTTCCTGATAATCATACTTTCCCTCTAAAATATAAAATGTAGTGTTTTGGGTATGTTGTCATTTACTCAAACACAGAATCATCAACAACATTTGATGCTCTCTCTTTTTGGTGACATTTGCAACAGGTCCCAGAGCTGTGTTGTGGAAGGGGTAAGGGTTTGTGGTGTGCTGTATGCTTGATGCTTACTGTACTCTAAGTTCGGCTACACCCGAAAACTACATTTTTAGCTAAAAATGAGATTGGGGGAGTATTCCCAGAGTAGGTAGTCTGGGATCCATGCTATAGTGGGGGTGGCGGGTACTAGATTACTGGAACAGGTAGTGAACGATCTGAGTTACAGCCCCGCTCCCGTGCCTGGTAAGTCCACTGTGGACTTACCATAGCCCGTGCTACTTGGCACTTTTTGTTCCGAGTTTCTGAATCTAAAACAACAACAGGAGGTAGTGAGCTGCTAATTGGTGATCTTGTTTGGTAATCGTGTGTTCAATATGGAGAATTCTTATGCTGCCTTAAGTTTATGGTACAGTATTTGTAATGCAGCTCTGTTGATTATTCAAGGCTAGATTGAGGGGGTTGTACCTCCAGTGACCCCCTCCCCCCCTCCACCCCCCCTTCATCCCGTAGCACACATAATGACTTCAGGAGTTGTTTGAGAAGCTCCATGGGGCATTTTTGCCTAGACGTCTGAAGTCTTGACTGTTCCGTAACCCTCCTCCTAGAGAACACAGTAGGTCGTCCTAGCTTGTTAGGGTGTCCAAGTGGCTCGGCTCATGAAGGTACTCTTCATAATAACTCGAAGCTGTATTTGTGCATTTGAGGATGTTCCCTATATTAATGAGTTATGGAGTACAGTATATTTATTTGTTTGTTGCTTTGTTTTATATGTTATTTAAATATCTTTGTGTAAGTGTTTTGGTATTTAATAGCCAGTTGAATTGACCAATGCAATTTTTGTAATTTTTTTGCTTTATTACTCATTGTCTGGTTTAATGCAAAGCATTTCTCAAATATTATTAATAATTCTTGGCTAAGATTATTTTGGTAATTCTTGGCTAGGATTGTTTTTATTTGCCCAGTAATTCTCTAATTTTATTTTATATTTTGAATTTAAAATCTGTATTGTGATACTGAATTGCTTTTAGGTTTTTTCATATTCTAAATGTACCGTATTATTTTATTTTGTGCATGGTTTTCACTATTTATATAAAAAAAAAGTAGTCCATGGTACTTTATTACTGACTGATGTTGATGTTGTATTTTGATTTAATTAATCTTACTGAATACTTTCTGTTTGGCGGCAGAGTTTTCCCACTGATGGTGGTCTCCTCTGGCAGGGCTTAGACTCTCCTCGCTTCGACAATGTGACCTCCTCCACGGATTCCGGGCTGGTTAGCAGTTGCCTAGACAGTCATGTTTTCGATGGCCAGTTCCTTGGTCAAGTGCGAGGGGGTAGTCATCCCCTCAACCATTCACAGGTGCCCACTCATGTGTTGCAGCAGGTCCTACCCTCACCTACACTTCCCACTGGACCTCAGGGGGCACCACACCAGCAACATCACCAAGCACAACAGCAGCAGCAACCACAAGACCAACAGCAACACCAACAGCCACAGTCACAACAGCAACAACACCAGCAGCAGCAGCAGCAACAGCAGCAGCAGCAACAGCAACAGCAGCAACAGCAGCTTCAACAGCAGCAGCAGCATCAGCATCATCATCAGCATACTCATCAGCAGCAGCAAAATGTAGCACTTCAAACATCTGGGGCTCCACTTGTAGTTGGAGCCCCAAACAGTAGTGGAGGAGAAGGAAATAGGGAGAATGACCATCCAACTCTACAGCAACTACTGGCATTTCCATCCCAACAAACACCACAGCCACAAAGTCAGCCACAACCTCAGCAGCAGCATCAGCAGAATGCTGGAAATGTAGGCCATGGTTTACCCTCAGCAATACTCAACACTAGTGCATCTCGTCATCCCTCCATACAACAAGCTTCACAATCACAGCAGCAGCTCTCGGTACAGCCCTCTCCTCGCACTGTTTCTGTCAGACCACAGGCATCACCAGCAACTAAAGGCAGCCAGAGTGTTCTTCAAAGCACTCCTCAACCTACTACTCAGGTTATATCTCAGACTCCAGCCCAAAACTCTCCGCAAATTATGCAAGGTGGTGTTCAGCTTGTAGGTGGGTCGAACCAAGTTATAACATCAGGAGGACAAATCCTAACATCAGCTTCCCCTCAGCTTATACAAGGCACTCAACTCCTCCAAGCACATGGGTCCACACAGGTCTTGCCTACTGGTCAGCTGCTATCGAATGGACAAGTGTTGCATAATGGACAAGTCATTCAGGGAGGCCAGGTGTTTCATGGTCCACACCTGTTGCCTGGAGGGCAGTTATTACAAGGTGGACAAGTTATACAAGGCGGCCAAGTTCTTCATGGAGGACAGCTTATCCAGGGTGGCCAGGTGATCAATGGTAGTCAGCTGATTGCCACTACCACACACATGGCAACCAGTGGTGTATCCGGATTAGGTGCAGCTTCTGCACCATTATATGTCACACCAAGTACACAAGCAATTCAGCAGCAGCAACAGCAAACTCATGCTGTCACATTACATCAAGCAGTTCAGCCTCCAACCCCAACTGCTTCACCATTTTCTGTACTGAGCAAATCTCCTGGAGCAGGACTGCCCCGCACATCACCGAGCCCCTCGCCGTATCATCCAACAACGCCATCACCACACCCAGCTGTACAAAGTCCTGCTCCATACACGACACGTTCTCCAGCACCCTCTCCTCATAGCAATGCTATGCGGTCACCTGCCCCACCTACCCCATCTCCTGCTGCTACACCAACCCCACAAACGCATAATATTACTACAATATCACAGCAACAGCCAACTGGAATGATTCAAGGTGTAATGGGAAATGTTGGGATGGTGCAGAGTCTGATGCCTCAGTTACCCCTGTCTCAGGTTGTTGGATCAAATGGCATGGTGCTGCCTCAACCAGGAGTTCAACAAGCAACGGGGGGAATGAAGCAAGTGGTTTCAGGAGGACAGTTAATTCAAATTGTGTCATCACCTCAACCAACTCAACAAAGGCAACCTCTTACAACCCCTACACACAAACCGATTCAACCAAAACAACCTCAGTTGCTACCGAAGCCTCCACAAGCTGCTGTTGTTGGTCAGCCTGCTCCACCACCACCAGGGAAGACCGTTATGGGTGCTCGTCCCGTAACACCGGGGGGCCAGCAACCTATTGTAATAGGAGCACCAGGACAACAGCCAACAATGATGGCTGGACAACAAGGACTTGGAGGGTTTGTTATTAATCCCTCCTTACTTCAATCAAGTCTTCAACAGCCTATCCTTATTCAGCAACCAAATGGTGTGCTACTGGTTAGACCATCGGGGCCATCTGGAGCAGGGGGAGCACCTGGTCAAGCTCTATTGGTCCCCATGACAGGCCAGCACCAGATGATGAATGCAGGGGCTAAACATGGTCAACACCAGACTGTAGTGTTCCCAAGCAATGGACCGGGAGGACCAGCTTATGTGCTCCCACCAAATGGGGCATCAGGCTTAGGTGGTCCTGGGGTGATGGGTGCACAGGGTTCACGTGGGCATCAACCCATTATTCGATTAGTAGCACCACAAGCTCCACTGCAGTTACAACAAATCCAGACTCCTAATGGACCTACTTTAGTAGCTGTACCAGCAGGTCAGACAGTCAATTTGCAAGGTTTATTAGCAGCTGGAGGTGCCACAATGCGCACTTTAGCCCCACACATGACTTCAGGTCCCCTACAACTTGCTCCCTCATCAGTAGCTTCTAATATGACTCCTGTGGTGAGCATGGGCCATATACAAATGTCAGGGGGTGGGCAGCAACTTCATGTGTCTGTTCCAGGGGCACCCCTTCAGCTGGCCTCCTCCCTCCCTTCCTCCCTCCCATCTGTGATAACCACCACTAAGCAAACTGTGATAGATGAAAGTGTGGCTCCTGCGTCCATTGTGACAGCTTCTGAGGCTGGAACCCATCATCAAACTATAACAGACTCTAATAAAAATACAAAGAAAAAGTCTAAAAAGAAAAAAAAGGAAAAAGAACCAAAAGATGACAAAATGAAAGGCAGAGGAACATCAATAAATTTAAATGATATTCTAAAAGAAACTGGAATTGTTGGCGATTTGATGCTTTTCGACGACAATGAACTTGGCTTAGGAGGGGAAGGAATGGAGGGGGTGCAGGCCACAGCCCCGGCACCTCCACCACAGGTTAATCCAGCAATGGTAACTCAAGCACCCGTATCGCTACCCGCCCCCGACAATGGTGCTAGTTATACAACGACGGGTGAAAACACCGGCCATATTGTAGTTGGTTCCTCGCAGCAGCACACACTGATGGGAATGGGCGGCTCTCTTGTGACGGGAACAGTGGTAACCAGCTCTCCATCAGCTGGGATAATGACCAATGCTGGCATGCACGGTGGAATGAGTTTCACGTTGGATCCTAGTGGCAAATTTATCCTGGGCTCTGATCCAACCAAGGCTCATCTTGGAACCCCCACAGGAACAGCTACCCAGGTAAGAGCATAATTAGAAATAGTTACTTGTTATAAACTGTTATAGATTACAATTTTAATACGAGTGACGGTAATAATGTGAGTAGTACTGTACTCTGTAAGAATAATAACGCTAAAATGTGATATTCAAGTGCAGGTAATTGGGGAATTAATGTTGATATTTCTTTTATATTGATATCTTTAGTGCATATGTTGTTATCTTGCAATTCTAGTAAAATGCGTAGTACAGTACAAAGAATGGTAAATGATTTTGTAGAATGAGAGTGAAAGACAATTAAGATGATAGTGAATGAAAATGAAGGATAGTAAGTGAGAGGGTTGGGTTGTAAGTGAGAGGTTGGCCTGTGAGTGAGAGTTTGGACAGTTAGTGTGAAGGGACGGTAGTTAGTGTGAAGGGAGGATAGTGAGTGTGAAGGGAGGGTAGTGAGTGTGAAGGGAGGGTAGTGAGTGTGAAGGGAGGGTAGTGAGTGTGAAGGGAGGGTAGTGAGTGTGAAGGGAGGGTAGTGAGTGAGAGGGTAGAGGAGCAACAGGAAAGAATAAATTCAAATGGCATGCATAGGGGAAGGGGGCAGAAAGGTATGTTTATACAGTGTGTGTGTGTGTACATATGAACATGCTTGTTTATCTTTTGTATTCTTTGGTTAATGATACTTTCTAAGCACTGTAATTCTGTTTATTTCAAGGTGGGGGGTTTGATGATACCTTCGTGCCAGTCACAGGTGCAGGTGATCAGTGGAGCAAGTGTGGGACTGACATCTTCCATATGCAATGTAGCCAGTAGTGGGAATGTGGCTAATGTGATGAGCTGTGGAATGCCTACCGTCATGGCCGGCAGCACAGGTACGGGAGTGGTTGGGCAAAATGCCCTTCCTACCATGGGTTCCTTACCATCCTTCACTCAGCTCTTGACTCCCCCAACACAAGTTGCTTCCAATGTTGTGGTTCATGGTGCAGGTGTCACTACAAAAACTAAGCATATTCAGTTACAACAGACTGCTTCTAAGTTAACTCAAATAACAACCAAGAACCAAACAGGAGCAGATATCTGTAGGGTAGCTCAGAACACTCATCTGTTACAGGCACTGCACCTCCCTGCTTCAGAAAAGCCAACTCATGCACCCAATGGACAACCCTTTCTCACATCATTGTTTTCAGGGCAACATCCAGGAAATGGCAACAGTATGGAGCAATCGGGTGTTTCAGTGCAGGTGTCTGTTGCAGATAGTGGACCTATGCTCACTGTGGTTAGTGTGGGAGGTGTTATGAGCTTACCCGACGGTATGGTGTCTACTGGTACAACTTTTTCCTCGCCAGCTCCTCTTAGCATACTGGTGCCCAGTCAAGCTAGCCAAGTGCCTCAGAGTTCTGCTGTGATTGCGTCTTCTAGTGCTACAAACAATATTGTGTCTGGTGCTATTATAAGCCACAAACAGTTCGTTTCCAACTCTGCTCTCATTCCACAACCTAGTGTAACGTATACTAATGCAGAAAGTGTGCCAGTGTCGCGAGGCCATTCCCAGATTGTAACTGCGTTGCAGCCAGATAATGTTCCTAGTCAAACAAGTAATCAGTGTTCGTTTGTGACCAAAAATGTTGAAGGCGGTAATAAAACTCTCAGCTTTCAGAATGAATATGTTGCTACTATTCAAAGAGGTCAAAATATTATAGATAATAATAAAAATAAATCAAAATCTAATAAAAAGAAAAAGAAAGATAGAGAGACTGAATCTGTTTCAACATCCACTACAAGTCCAGTGATGGTTAAACAGAGTTTACAAGAGCGTTTAAAGTCGAACACGTGTACCAGTACAAGTGGAACCCAACAGCAACTGTGTTTGACGCCTATACCTAATGGGTTTAGTGGTCCTGCCGTTAAAACCGTATCTCAAAGCGTTGGAAGCTCTACCCCTCCTGGCGCCTTGCCGCTTTCTGTAGTTGAAACTGGTGTCCAGAGTGATAATACATCTGCAGTGGGGCCAACCATCTCTGCTGCTCCTCCAGTGTCTATCATACCTTCCATAACCAGTGCTGCCACAGCAACAGTTCAAGCGCCGTCGGCACCGACCACACCAACCGTAACAACCGCCACCACATCTCATCCACCTTCAGGAGTAGTATTTACTGGGCCTAAGCAGCAATTTAAACAAGTCAAGCACCTTATACTTTCACAACAAAATCAAGAGGTAAGATTTAATTCTTATGTTAAATTTACTTTTAAGTGTATGGCAAGTGTCATTATTTATATTTATTAATGTGACTTTGTTCAGATGAGATGCCATATACACTACATAGCTAACTCTTACACTGCTTAAATTGCCACGTGGGATTTTTCCCATTTGATTTGTTAACTATTTTTAGTCAAGCACACCTTGTTATAATTTTAAATGGCTGTACTGTTTAGGGGTTAATACTCTTATTATTATACAATGTGGGGGACTATACGCAGATACTTTACCTTCAATTAGGCACATTTTCCGTGTAGTTTGGATTCCACTAGAATGAGGTATTCTCAATGAGGACACAAAGTAGTTTTTACATGTTTATTTTTCTGGGCATTCCGCCTCATGGAACTGGTCATTGCAGGGACCTTGTGCCCCTAGGTATGTTCTGAACTAGCTTGTGATTTTCCAGTGCTCATTTTTGTGCCCTTTTATGCTGCGGAGGTGACCCACACCAGTCCCCCCTCGCCTCTCCTATTCTGGACTTTTTTTCACCTTTTACGGTGTGGTTTGTTTCTGGTCATTTTGATAGACTGTGCATCACCCTTTTGCCTTAACCAGCTGCTCAGTTGTGTATGCTTGTTTGGGTCTTTTGCCTAGTTTGGGCTCCTCTTTCTGGTATGGGAATACCAAGAAATTTACTGGAAAAGATAGATTGGACAGACCAAACATGGGAACTGGGTTGTTCTTGAACCTGAATGTGAGTGATGTAACAGGATTACAAAGTAGATTCAAATTATAACTTGTTTTAAAATGTTCTTAGCAAAGTTCAGGAAGGTAGTGTACCTTATACATTGATTAGATTGATAATAATGACCCTAAATGGATAACCAGGGTCTAAAGAACTTATACAGTATGCAAAAAAAATAAAAAAGCTTGTACAAGAGAATTAAGAATGGGGAAGTCAGTCTAGAACAACTATTTATCAAATTATAATTCTTTAATTTTTTCTATCATGAAGTTGAACATGTATCTTCTTGAGGTTATCTTGAGATAATTTCGGGGCTTTTAGTGTCCCCGCGGCCCGGTCCTTGACCAGGCCTCCACCCCCGGGAAACAGCCCGTGACAGCTGACTAACACCCAGGTACCTATTTTACTGCTAGGTAACAGGGGCATAGGGTGAAAGAAACTCTGCCCATTGTTTTTCGCCGGCGCCCGGGATCAAACCCGGGACCACAGGATCACAAGTCAAGTGTGCTGTCTGCTCGGCCGACCGGCTCCCCTTACCTTTAAGAGCATCTCTTCATGTTGAGAGTTGGACTTGGCTCACTTACCTGGTTGATCAGGTGAGGTAACTGCTCACTTACTGATCAGTCAGTTGAGGTGAGCTCACTTACTGATCAACCTGGTCGATGACCGGGCCGCGGGGACGCTAAGCTCCGGAAGTACCTCGAGGTAACCTTCTTAGGAACAATTTCATTAAAAATAAGAAGGTGAAGTAAGAGTAAGAAACACAATTTATGTATAAGGAGCAAGGTATGTGGCGGCGTCTTCACCAGGCTCACTACTTGATACTGTGATAAGTGGCACATCGTTAATACCAATGTAAATTTACAAATCTCGTGTATAATACTATTAGTAGTAATAACATGTATGAGAAGATAGAATGATTACAGCTCCTGTGCAGAGACATCATGAGCTGTGGCACTTACCACTTTGTAAGCTGGAGATGATACATCTCTCCTTAATTATAACCTATTGTACATGTAATGCTAATGATGTTTATATCAATTTGTCTTGGAATTGAAATTTACTCGGTAGTGTTATTGGTCATAATAAGTAATACAGTGTCTTTGTTAATTTGATATCATAATGTTGTGTTAATTTTAGATCACAATTTTGTCTTGATTTGATATCATAATTTTGAGTAACGTTGGTGATAAAAGGAGATAAGTTAAGTGGTTGTGTGGATGGGGCGAGCTTGGTGAGTACTATCAGTGTGGAACATGGCCCAGGTGACTGTGAGAGGCAGAATGTGTCGTGCTGCGCTCTGCTCTGCACGTGGAGGTACTGCCCTTCCAGTACTTAACCTTCAACTGTTAGATTTCTTCATTATAGATGGTTTCAATGATGAATTTAATAACATATTGTGTACAATTACTGTACAGTGTTCCAAGACTGTATTGGCTATGGTACTGAACACTAATTGAACATATTCTGTTCAAAGAATATACAGTATGTGGTGCTGGGAGAGTGGATGGATTTATTTGAAAACAAAAAAGTACATTTTAACAAGAATCGGTGATGAGTATCAATAGGTACTCGCCTAGTTGTACGTGTGGAGGGTTGAGCTTCGGCTCTTTGGTTCCACCTCTTAACTGTCAATCAAGTGGTGTACAGGTTCTTGAGCCTACTGGGCTCTATCATATCTACACTTGAAATTGTGTATGGAGTCAGCCTCCCCCACATCACTGCTTAATGCATTCCATTTGTTAGCTACCCTGACACTGAAAAAATTCTTTCTAATGTCTCTGTGGCTCATTTGGGTACTTAGTTTCCACCTGTGTCCCCTTGTTTGTGGTCCACCTGTGCTAAAGAGTTTGTCTTTGTCCACCCTGTCAATTCCTCTGAGAATTTTATAGGTGGTGATCATGTTTTCCCTATCTCTTGTGTCATTCAGGGATGCAAGGTTTAATTCTCGTAACTCATACGAGTACCTCTGTTTTGGGACTAGTCTGGTGGCATACTTTTAAGTCATCTTAAACCATATTTCACAGTCGTAGTAATCTTGTGTGTGTACTTTTTCTGGACTTGAAAATTAAAAGTACAAAAAAGTGAACTTTTGGCACTACATATTGGTACTTTCCACGAAATAGTTGCTATAAGTGCTGCAGTACTATCATTTCAGGAGGATGGATTGCAATATAAATGGCTATTGACCAGACCACACACTAGAAGGTGAAGGGACGACGACGTTTCGGTCCGTCCTGGACCATTCTCAAGTCGATTGAATCATTGAATTAAATGGATATTGCCCCATTGTTAGGCTTCTACATGTACTCGGCTCCTGTTGAGTGGCAGAAGCAGGTATTCTGTAGATGGCTACAAGTACATTATGGAAGATTTGCACATCTCTTCATAGAAAACGGAATGCAATTTTTAACTTTTTTTTTTTTCCCCCCCTTAGGCTCTAAAGAAAGTTCATTCACAAATCCAAGCTCTCCAGAACAAGAAGACTGATCAGGATACAGCGTGTCTCCAGCAGCTCTTTACAGAATACCGGAAGATTATGGCAACAGGAAAACACGTTACTGTTACCACAACGCCACAACAACCTCAAATAGTAAGTTGCACAACAACAGTTTTAGTTACAACAACAACATTAAGTTACACAATTTACAACAATATATGTTGCTGTAAATTTAATGTGAACATTTCAAAACTTATTTACCAGTATATGGAGCTGAAAGTCACACATTAAGCCTTGGTAGTGGCCCAATTTATGATTAGAGTTCCGGTAATAACTGAAACTACATTATAAGCAAATGTGGCTTTTAGTACAGTACTGTTTCACATTAATTTTAAGTAATCTGTTTAATCTGGATCCAGTTTGTAGACCTGGAACCTCTTGATGAGTTCTTCATACACCTTGTCATACTCCTTGAGTGTTCTTCTCTGTCCCAATAGTCTGAGCATGTGGTCTTGTAATGTTGTTTTCCTCCTTATATGGCTATGCGACACTGTTTTTGCTGCAATTTTATTTTCAGACTACTGCTCTGCTGCTCTCCCGATTCTGATGTCCTCATGTCTGGCTCTCTTAAGTACCTTGCCTCTCTACCCATATCCTTATACTTTTTCCATGCCATTTTTGTCTTTTCCTTTTCCCCCCTTACACGGTTGAAGAATGGGTGATTTACACGATGTACTGAATGGGGTGAGAATAGCTTGAGCTACCTCATCCTTTTGTGTGTATTTTACCTCAATAAACTTGTTTCAATTTCAATTTCTATGGGTGATTTTACTGTGCATAGAATAAATTCAGTCACTTCCTCTCCTCCTTGTGAAGGCGAGGGGTAGTTACATGGTAGGTCATTTGACAGATAACTAGGTTATGACTTTGTGGTCTGTTTGAAGTCAGGATGCATCCAGAAAGAATTTTCAGTTTATGCCATGCACGATTTTAGCTACTGTTTAGACTGAATCACATGTATGATGTAATGGGGATAAGAAATTTTTTTCCCAGTTGTGCTTTTTTGGAATAATTACTTACCCCAAAAGTGCCAGATCTTAACCAGAGGTCAGTAGGGTCTTGACTTAGAAGACAGCCAAGTGTATTGCCGAGAAACAAATATTTTTTGTGTTCACTCAAAGCTCGATTTTTCAGACTCCAACTCCAAGTCAGCCCACACCTGTACGCTACTCTCATCCGGTGGGACATAAGATCATCACACTGACTCAGTTCAAACAGCAAATTAAACATTTACCTCAGGTAGGATTGTCTACAGAGTTGTATTTGCATAGTCTCATGTAGAACATTGTTATGTATACCTGGTGGGGTGGTGCCTTATTTTAATATTACACTACGAATTTAATCCATTCCCAGTGACAAACCATAATTAAAAAATTCACAGTGGTACCTCGGTTTACGAACACCCGTTTACGAACTTTTCGGGTTACAAGCCCGATTTGTTCGGAAAATTTGAATCGGGATACGAGTTTGTTGATACGTGTATGGCCGATCTAGCCCGTGGTGGCACGGCGATTGAGCCTCAGTTTACCTGTGCCTCGCGCCCAGTGACTATTCCGTCTGAATTCTTCACAAGTATTTACAGTTTCTTTTCGGATTTTTGGCTATTTGACTATAAAAGTTGTTATACTGTATCTCACCATGGGTCCCAAGAAAGCCAGTGGTAAGGTTCAAGGCAAGAAATCACATGTGAGAATGACCATAGAGGAAAAACAAGAGATCACTCGTAAGCATGAAAATGGTACTCGTGTTGTTGAACTAGCTAGGCAGTACAACAAATCCATGTCAACAATATGCACTGTACTTGCCAAGAAGCTGTAGTAGGCCGCTGCATTAATCTTTTCAATGACAATGTGATGCCTCACTACAGACAAGTGTTGCAAAGAAGGGAAAAACAATCTTCAATGGAACATTCCTTGTGAGAAAATCAAGCAATGAGCCACAACCAGGTATGCAGGCAAAACGTGCCAGAGAGTGCACTCCAGAGAAATATTCACTGCCTGATGTTATAATGGAAGGGAACTTCCTTTCCAAACAGTAACACCTCTCCTCCTCCCCCCCTCCTCACCATCTTCCATACGCCAACCGGAGTCATCAGCAAAGATAAGTAATAACTTGAACATACTTTTTGTAGTGAAGATTTGGGTGAATTAGGTATAAAATTGACTTTGAAATGAAGTTTTTGGGGAGTCAGGAACGGATTAATTCATTTCCCATCATTTCTTATGGGGAAATTCGCTTCGGTTTACGAATTTTCGGGTTACGAACCGTCTCTAGGAATAAATTAAATTCTTAAACCGAGATACCCCTGTATATACCCTCCTCCTCCTCCTGCTGCAGTTGCTGCTGCTGCTGCTGTTGCTGCTGCTGCTGCTGCTGCTGCTGTTGCTGTTCCTCCTCCTCCTTCTCCAGCCATTCACATACCAGCACCTCATCACTCTCCCATTCCACAGGTTGGTCATAGCGCTTTAAGTTTAGTGAACATTGCATATTATACATAAATTATTTCTAATTATTCACAAACACTTTTTTGACAGTATATGGTGTATGTAATACAACTCTCATGTGTTAGATGGTCATAGCTCTGCATCTAGGAAAGAGCTGGTTTGGTTTACCCACGGAACATGTTTAGTTCTCTGGATGTCAGTGTTGGACATATCTGGTTGGTCTACATTCCAATTTGCAGACCTTGGCTATTATTGACCAATATATTAGGTCACTGTATAGTGTGCTGTAGTCAGGGACAGGAAGCCTGTAAGGCTTATCGAGCCCTTCCCCTAGGCCAACTGCTCACAACCTTCCCCAGGATGCAGTGCATAACAGTTTAACTCCTGAGTACCTGTTTGTTATTGGGTGAACAGAAGCTTCAGATGATAGGAAACATTGGCCAAGCTTTTTGCCCTACTGTAGGAATTGAACCCTCTGTGACCTAACCATGAACAATCATGTGCCACAGAAATCAAGCAGTATGAAAAAATAAAATTAAAGGTGAACCTATCATCACTTCTGCATAGATTGCACATCTCCTCTCCCTCCCCCCTCCCATCCCAACCCTACAGTCAGGTGTCTGGATGAACCACACAGGCAGCCACAACCCCAGAGAGAAAGACCTACCCAGCCACACCCTCTGGATGAACCACACAGACAGCCACAACCCCAGAGAGAAAGACATCCCTTTGTTATTAATTATAGTATGATATAAAACATATTCAGTATGAGTAATACACATCATATTAATAGAACAAATTAAATATTTAAACATAATATTTTTTTGTAATAAAATTAGTCAATTAGCATTGATGAGTTAAAGTGGAAAGCCTTATATTTTGTTACCCAGGAGGCAGAAGATGACATCTGTGAGTAGAGACATACGAGGGCCTTGTTCAGGGGGCCGAGGGGGGGGGGGTTGCTTCACCATGTTCATGTGGTGGGGGGAAAATATACTGTAAAGTGCAGTACGTATTGTCCATTACATTATGTCCAAGTATGTTTGGCTTTCTATATAAAGCATCTTATTTTCACATTTTAGGATGCAGAATGGGAGAAAGTAAATTATATACATCTTATACAAATATGTGCGATTTCTTTAGACTTCCAAAATATGTATACACATCATATTCCATTGTATGTGAATTTTAAGATAGGAATAATAAAAACTGAAATAAAAATCTATTAACAAAACGTCCAAGAAAAAACTTTGCTCAAATCGTTTGAATTGAAATTGGTATTAGAAACAAATTTTGAAATGTTATATTAATGTTACATTATCTTTAAAACCACAACTTTTTGAAGGTTTGTTTGAGAATTAGTGAAGCATTCTTTGCCTTCAATAAATGTAAAGTTGACGGAACAAGTGTAATGTCGTTTTTCTTACTTGAAACAATTGAATACATCATCAATGATAGACATCTTAGTAGTTGAGGTTGGTTTCTCATGCTGCTGGCTAGGAATTCCTATATTTTTCTGTAGATATTCATGGGAATGAAAATTTGCTAAAGCTTTAAATTTGATGGTAAAGTATTTTCTTTCACTATCTGTAGCTTTAGTTTTTTGTTCATGTTTCCTCATTTTCTTTTTTTCTCATTTGCCTCGTGCAAATAGCTTTTGATGGATTGACCTTAGGACGTCAAGCTACTTGGCTTGACCTCCTAAGGTTTCCAAACGTCAAGAAAATGGCCAATTTAAAGTGTTCTATAGTAATTCCGAGGACCCAAGACAGAAAACGGAACAGTACTTCACTTTTGCGAGCCGCTTCCATTTTCTAGTACTGGCATGACAGTTTTTGGCCTTACGTAACGCATACAATCGAAAAGCATTTTTTGTAGGAGGACGAGTTGGATTACCAATGATAAAACTTCACTAACATAAAAGATGCACTTGCCATTGGAAGAGTAAAAGTCAAGTATTAATTAGATTTGACTAATGTTTTCCTGGTGTTGCAGGTTTCTTCAAGTGTAAGTTCAAGTAAAGGAAGTTTAAGTCCAGGAGCTGGAGCCAGCATGCCCACCATCACCACGTCGGCTTCTTCACCAACGGTGCCCACAACCTCTACCACCGTGTCTAATTGTAGCACCAGCAATACCCTTAACTATTCTAGCAAAATGACTCCCCCTCAGTGCTCTCCGGTATCCTCCACTACACCGGCTGTCAGTCACGTTAATGCCTTGGGGTCTTCTCCGAAGTCGTTAGTGCAGCCAGGGATGGTGTTGCCTTCGCAGGCTTCGCCTCACCCCAGCTCAACGTCCGGAGTTCAAGAACAGTCCCCGAGCCAGACTAAGGCACCGTTAGCTTACAGCATTACAAAGGAACAACTGTGAGTAGGCCCTTTTAATCCTTTGTTATTTAATATTTATCTAAGAAATTTGGTATGAGAAGCAGATATATTTTGAAAAGCAGTTGTTGTCTGTATTGAGTCATGAATTGAAGGACTAGGTAGGTTTGCTTGAAATTTTTTATTTTAATTGTTCTAATCATAATTCAATGCAAATATGTTTAAACTATTAAGATTATTATTGGCTCTTGAAATGAATTCTCAGAAATGCATGTTCCATAAATAATTGGGAAGGAATATGTGAGGACAAAAAGTGTCTTCAGTATGTGGTTGGCCAAGATGTGAGGGGGCAGGGGGAGGGGGCCCGGTTGACGACCGGGCTGCGGGGTCGCTGAGCCCCGAAATCACCTCAAGGTAAAGTAACCTCAAGGGGTTGAGGACAGGAGAGTGGGTACAGATAACAGTACTCTTTAAAGGTGGGGGGCAGGGAGTGAGGATGATTGCTAGGAATTCAACCTGTTCACCAGATTTGATAAGTGTCCCAGTTTAAGTGGCTTAGCCTAATAAGAAGTGTGTGAGACCCATCTAGCCTATCCAGGCTGATACTCACTAATCTGAAGAAGCCTTAATCTTTCAATGCTTTTTAATTTCATTAAAGTACTGTAATTTTGATGTGGTAGTTGATAGTGTGAAAAGGCTATGTGGTAAGTGTGAGGACAGATTTAACAAGCTTTTAAGAAATACCTGACACATACCTGGAGAGGGTTCTGGGAGTGCTTCTACTCCCCGAGCCCGGCCTGAGGCCAGGCTCGACTTGTGTTTATGATTATGAGAGAAAGATTATGACAGCAAAATACTGTAGTGTGTGTAGTATAGGGGTTGGTGATGTGTTACAACCAACATGATAAAAGGCAACATTTTGGCTGTCAGACAGTTCAGGGCTTGTGATGGCCAATAGGCATAGAACAGCTTGGAGGTTCATGTTGAAATATAGCTATCTGGAGATTTTTTTCTTGGCCACCCTCTTGAAAGAGTTCCTGGTGGAAACAAAGAATCCTAAATATGAATTCGATAGATAGATTTATTATTAATACAACATTTTGATTTTGAAGGATCTCGTTACTTATTTTCAATAAAAGATTTTAATGATTTTATGTTAGAAATCGAGTATATTTGTTATTAATTTTCACTTTACAGATTTGAACATCAGCTGAAGACTGACCAGAATGGTGCTCTAAATCCCGATTATCGTAATCCATTTAAAAATAAAATTGATGCCTGTAAGCGTCTAATCCGTTACCACGTGTTCAGTGAATGTGCTCCGACGCCTCGGGAGTTGGCAGACTCCAATGCTCAGTTTGAATTACAAGCTGAATCTCTTTTGAAAAAGTTTAATAACATGAAATACAAATATCAATCTCTCTTGATCAAGGATAGTATGGTAAGCATCATTTCTCCTGTATTTTTTGTGTATGAATCATGTCTTTGGCTATTTGCTTTGGCTTCCCTAATCAGCCCTGTCCACACTGTCTCATATTTCAAGAGTTTAATCATGAAAGTATAAATAGAATGGTTAGAGAAGTGACTTTACTGAAAAGCTCATCCTCTGAGATATGATGTATTTTTGCACCATTGCAATATTTATTGTCAAAGTTCAGATGGTGTCACTGGAATGCTAAAATATTAATTAGGTTCATAGTTTGTGATTGGCCATTTATATCTTGTGGTGCTGTGGATGATTGCAATATGTATTGCATTTCAGCGTCGTCATGCGTCGTCAGAAACAGTGATGCTGTACCGACTATTTGTGCAGGAAGATAAGACGAACATTGAGAGGGAGAAAGCTGATGTCCAGAATGGGAAGAGTACGTATCTCCTTAATATTGTTTTTCTTAACTTTAGCTATTCACATGACATTTTAATTTAATATGTACAATAGTAATAAGGTGCTGTAGCAGCAGATAATACATAGATAACAAACAAATATTTGGCTCAGCATTCTGTTAATTTGACTTAATTTCCATCTGCATATGTGGAATATGTACAAGGTAAACATTGCTGATGTAACCTTGCAAACACATTCATCTCTAGTTTCAACTGATGAATAATTTTCAAATCAATTGCCTCATCATTGTTTAAATGCTTCATATCTCTGCACTTAATTTCTGCACGTAATAATCATTGAGACTTCAATTGTTAGCTTCTTAGCTTTGAGGTGTGTTGGTCAGTCACTGTCACATCTTAAGTAGCAAGAATTGGTAATACAATAATCAAATAATTTTATTCAGTTCTATAGTGAACATTTATTTTTAAAGAGTTAATAAATTGTAAATGTATTTATGCACACGTGAATAGCCAGGTCTCGGGAATAAATATTTTGTATTTGCAGTAATAGATGTGCCACCAGGCCGAGTGTGCCGCACCAGTGGGGACACGTTGCCTCCTGACACACCTTATCCTTGGGAACTAGAATGGCAAAACCAAAAGATCTACAAATTTGAACCATGGCATAAAGATGAGGAAGTGGAGGAGGAGGATGAGGAAGAGGAAGAGGTAGAAGAAGTGGAGGAGGACGAGGAGCAGGAAGATGAGGCGGAAGAACATAATCAAAACAACGGAAAGGAAGACAGCTTGAAGATGGCTGTACAAGGTCAAGTGAAAGAGGAAGTGAAGCAGGAGGACAAGGAGGAAGAAGTACTAGAGGATGAGAAGAGAGAAGCAAAGGCAATAAAAGAAGAAACTGTTGAAGAACATCAAGAGAAAGTGGTAGAAGTGGAGAAGGAGGAGGAGGAGGAGGAAGAGGAGGAGGAAGAAGAAAGTTATAAAGATTATACAAAACTTGAGACTGATGAAAATGATCTTAACGAGTTTGACGATGACCAGGAAGGAGAAGCATGCCTCCAGATATTTATGAAGGAGGAGGATGAGGAGGAGGAGGAGGAAGATGAAGAAGAAGAACAACAACAACAAAATCCAGGCAAAAGAAAGGAAGAGGATAAAAGAGAACAAAGATCTCCGGGTGCTAAGTTTGAGTGTCGTGAGCTAAGGAGTGACTCTGACAATACAGATGATAATAGTAAAAAGGAGTCTGAACACGAGGAGGGGTTAGTGATTTGTGATAAAGAATTAGTGTCGAATAGTATACAAAATAGTCCAGTAGATAATGAAGCGGCTGTGGTAGGTTACCCTAGGGAAACGTGGACGAATTGTGACGAAAATATAATAAGCAGACACTCTGATCAATCTCATTCACCTGATATTCCTAGAACTCACAATAATATTTCTAAATCTATTTCGTCTCCAAATTTTGAAACGAGTGAAAATAATTTGTGTAAACAGACACATTCACCTTCTTTAAGAATAGTGACTGATAGGACAGACAAAGATAAAAGAAGGGAAAAAGTGGAAAAAGATTATAAGAAAAAATCAGATAGGGGTAAAGATAAAGATAAGGAGAGAGGACGAGACAGAGAGAAGGAAGATAGGCCGCCTAAAAAACTGAAAATCAAGGCCCTGGTGCCGCCTCTTCGCATCAGGACTGACGAGAGGAGTATCGGGCTCAAATTAACGTTGAAAAAGCAAGAAGGTTCGGGGGCTTATTACAGTGTAGGGGAGGAAAGAAAGCGGGAATACCGAGTGGAACAAAATGAAGACGAGGAGGAGGAGGACGAGTTGGAGGATATGGTTGTGAGACAGTTTGACGGGGAGGAGGAGGACGACGAGGATGCCGATGGAGACGGGCACGGTCTAAAAGAAGTGAAAGTAGTTCTTCAAGATGTACTCAAAGACAAAAGGTTTAAAAAGCAAATTGAGGAACGAAGTAGTAAAAAGAGAAGACGAGAAAAAGGTGACGATAGAGGTGATAGAAATGAAAAAAGTGATAGAAATGATAGATATAATCCCCATTGGTCAAATTATGCCCAACAGCTCCATCCAAGTGAAGGAGAGAAAAATTTTTCACAATCTTCAAACCATGAAAATAGAACTTGGAACCACAACATTGGTGGTATTGAGTGGCGGAGAAGTGGCGGTGAAGGTGCTTCCAGCATAGATAATTCTAGTGATCACAGAACAAGAGAATATAGTCCTCGTTTATATACGTATAATGATCATTATAGCCACGAGTATACCAGCCGCCATAATCACTCTCAGCCATATGGGCATTCTGGTAGTCAACCAAGAAACTCGCATAGTTATTATTGATATATTTCTTATAAATTTTTTATGCAGAAATTTTTTATTCTAATTTATAAAACTTTTAACATAATCTTTACATTATGTCCTTTGCTGTATTAATATATAGCACAAATACTCAATGTTTAAGTTCACAAAATTAGTTTTTATGTGAATTAACTTCTTTTACATCTCAAGTTTGACACTGTATTTGATGGTTGTTAAACATGTCCATTTCAGTGTCATTCGGTTTAACTTTAAATTTCTTAATCTATAAAAAAATTTGAGTGTGATTGCTTTCTTTATTATTTATATGTCATATCAGCCTTCATGCCTCTTTCTTTATATTGAATCTAGTCTTTGCCCATCTACCCCTCTGGACTGTAAATAGCCAGATAATAATTGCTCAGTAGAGAGTGACTTGTTGAAGAGTGAGTCCTTATTGGTGACTCAAGTTCATGGTTACTATTATATTGGTGAGGTGAGCCTTAGTGGAATGTTTACTAAGGGTCACTGTGGCTAAGCAATTAACGGTAACAGATGTAGGAACTTGGTCGTCCTGGAGGCATCTTAATATGGGAAATTGGATTAATATTTTCCCATATGATTGTCGAATACGGCAGAAGAATTTTTAATACTTAAAAGCCCTGTGGTGTACCTATGTTTCAGTAGGTGTAAATGTTTTATAGGATCCTATTATAGTAATTTAAAATGACATAAAGATTGTGGTTATTGACCTTAATAAGGAAACTGTCATTCTCAAAATATGTGATCTCAAGTGTGATTTTTTACAAGCTTATCTCATTTTTCTACTGTTGCAGTGGTATGAAGTCTGGTTTGTGTGTATATTTTTGCCATGTACTTACTACTGTTGTCCCATAGGTTGTTGACATGTTCAGGGAGTTTATCAGCCTAGATACTGATATAATGTAATACAAGAATCCAGGCTGACTTGCTATCTACAAACACTACTTCATCTGCAGTGTGTATATGCAAAAGCCATTATACTATTTTATGCTTTTGCAGTACGTAATATGCATAATTCTTGACTAATTGTCCCTCTGCTCCAGTAAATGTTTTTGAAAATGTAGGCTACAGTGAACACTCCTGGAGAATGTAAAAGATAATAAGTCAATTTGGTGCAACTTGCATGTAGCAGTTTATTTTGCTTTCTAATGTATGCGGTGGAGTCCTGCTTATCTGGGGCCAGATTCACGAAGCAGTTACGCAGGTACTTACGAACGTGTACATCTTTCCTCAATCTTTGGCCGCTTTGTTTACAATTATTAAATAGTTAATGAGCTCCGAAGCACCAGGAGGCTGTTTATAACAATAATGACAGTTGATTGGCAAGTTTTCATGCTTGTAAAATGTTTGATAAATGTAAACAAAGCCGTCAAAGATTGAGGAAAGATGTACACGTTCGTAAGTGCTTGCGGAAGTGCTTCGTGAATCTGGCCCCTGGTCATCACAAGTCACAAACACTGTACACAACACTTAAGTCTCCTAAGTGCTATACTACCCAACTGGAAGCATGCAACTTACACATGAAATGGAGGTTAAGCTACTTCTAATTTAGTTTATTCCAGGCAGCAAGATATGTTGGATTAACTTCTTTTTTTTTTTTTATGCATTGCATCATGCAAGAGATGTTTTAAGGACAAATGGTGTGGCCGTGTGTATTCTCTGATATTACTCTCCTACTTGACACGGCAGCTCCTGACAATATTTTGAATCCACACGTTGCTACAGGTATCTGTTATTCTCAGTTTTCCAGTATTCATTTAACCATTAAAAGGTAATTATCATCATACGTTCATTCCCAGTGTTATGCGGTTATCGTCCAGTCTGTTGTCTTGATTTGCCACCCCGTAAAAAATCCAGCCTCCTAACCTAACCAGAAACGTACGCACCCAAGGAAGCACCTAACCTATCGAGCCCGACGCATTAGAAAGTGTAGATATTTGCGAGCCGTTACCTTTCATAGTTGGTTGCATTTATAACTTTGGTCACCATAACATGAAAAATGAAACCTACGAGTTAAGAGGACAGGTTGTATCATCACGTGTCGATTTGAGTTCTTATCACCTGGTTTTATACTAATGATGTAAATATGGTTATAATACATCTTTATAGATGCAATAGAGTTTACTTAGAGCCATAAAGAAATTCTATAATGTTTAATTGTTTACTATTGATTAGATTATCTTGTACCACAAACCATGTGATTGTCAAATGACAATTTGGCATTTGGTGATGGTGTTTGTATCTCTTGCTGGATAACAGTACCAGACGGGATATCAGGAGAGGAGCGGGTTACAAGACACTTTGATTTGTGTCAGGAACACATGTAAAGTATTCAACACCGTGTTGTTTTTGTCAATTTTGTGTTAATAATTAGTTATCCCATACATTATATAAACTAAAATGAAACGGCAAACACACACACACACACACACACACACCCCCACCCACCCACTCCCTACCCCCACCCCACCCACACCCCACCCCACACCACTCCACCCAACCCCACCCACATCTACCACAATCATCCCAGCTCTCCCCTCTACATGGCGAGTCAACAATATTGCATAACACGAGTACACTAAATGATCCTCATATTTGATATCCCTCTCATAATCATGAACGAGAAAAAGGCATAATTTTTCTTTTCTTTCTTTCTAACCCTTGTTGCTCACATTTCACTTCTTGCCTATCTTTGCACCAAGTCAGTATTTCAACGTGCTGACACAATCATCGTTCATGTGTTAGTGATGCACTCCTGTTTCTCTTGGTGTCCTTATCCTGTATCTGCTTTCCCACTGTGTCATAGTTTAATTTATTGCATTAATTTGCTTATAACAATGATTGTGGAGTTCATCAATTAAGTTTTTAACAAATTTCCGAGCCATATTTGTGATGGGTTGGACTAATTGAGGGGTTAGATATGTGATTAAAAAGTTAAATTTAATGAAGTAAATAGTTAATTGGTGTTAAGCAAACTCAGGCTTGCTACATTTTTCTACATTACCCCTAAAGCTACAAAACATGCTCGTGAGCACTACTGGGATTTTTGTGGTGTGTGGATTGTTCTTGTGAATGGTGAGACTTCTGGAACACTAGATAAAGTCTGTGAACATGTTGGAAAGGTGACCATCAGAGTTCTGGAGATAGCCTATATTTGATTTGTAAATTAAACTTTGTTACAGATCGGCGGTTTAGGTCACCCAAACCTCGGTGAGAGAACCTTGACTTCCGTGCCCGTATTGCTCCACGGGACATTCGTGTTTGTTTATCAGAGACAGCCAGTTGAGTCGTTGACCTACCTGGTGTGCCACATAGTGCAGGTCGTACTGGTTCTTCCTGGCTGTTCAGGCACCAAGTTTACAGATAAGTGTTGGCCTTCCTTACGACTTTTGTCCTCTGCAGGGGGCTGTGCTCGTCTGTGTTGTTTTCTTGCTTCGTTTGAATCGCTCTTTATGGCAGCCTGTTATGTGTGCCATGATGACTTCACATGGCCAGAGTTGCACTCTGTGATTGCAGCTGGAGTTGCCCTTGCCTTGTGTTAGGGTTATCTTGAGAAGATTTAGGAGTGTGCTGCTGGGGGTTATATCATCTTAATGGGCCCCCACACCAGGTAGTACTGTACATGCACTATGCTCCTTTGAGAGGCCCAGTGGTTGGGTGGGCAGTAGTTTGCTTGTTCTGGGGGTCCACTGTGTCAAGTGTTCCAGCTCTGGTTCCAGTGGCAGCTTACACCTTTCTTTGCCAAATTTTCCTAGGTTGAGGATTGGTAGGGGTTGCTTCTTGGCACCCATCTTCCCTGCTGGTGTGACGTGTGAGTTACAGCTCGGTTGATAGACACTGGGTTGAATTTGAATTATTGGTCTAATTTTGTCCAGAAAGGTGCACACAGGATAATTCCCAGATAAATGCTGCAGCTGAATGGTTAATATAAATTACCTAACTTGAAGGCCTTGGTAACTAATCAGGTAACTAATCTACTGTCTAGTCTCCAAACACTTTTAATTACTCTGGTATTGCTTGATCCAAATGATTTTCCTGTGAATCCTGCTAGCATGTTACGATACATTTACAACTCTGTAACAAGTAGAGCTATGCATCCATCTCAAGTCCCTGAGCTGAAACATTTCTCTCTTCACCAGGCAATTGTATACCAACAACAGCTTTCAAATCTGCTAATATTTGTCATGAATACCAATTAAATCCTCTGGCAGCCTTAATGGTGCAAATGCCTATTTCTGATATTAGTTCACATTTGCTATATTAATTTATTAAGGAAACTTTCTCATATATTGAAGGTTGTATACCTGTGACCCATAATATTTCAATTTCCTGCTAAAACAAAATAATGATTGAAGTATTGCTTTGTGTTAGCATTATACCACAACATTTTCACACGCACTATCTAGCGATCATCTTGCATACATTGTTAATATTACAAGAGGGACTCAAAATATAATTTAAAAATTTATTGTGGTAAATACAAGAGAGAAAATCATGTAGCTTATGAAAACACACTTGTGGGCTTGATAGGATGTACAGATGAAGTGTAACGGTATGGTTAGTATGAATAAATAAATGGAGATAATGTCAAAGATGGGCAGAAAGAATATGGTAAGAAAGTGTGGTATGCTTGTGAATACTACGAGGAGTGAAAGTGAGCAGAAATGACAAACAGTTTGGAACTGTAATTACAATATATATGTACTACAAATATTTTTGTAGAGTACTATCACTGAATGTGTTTTAATTCTTTTCAATAATAATTGATTATTTTTGAATGAGTGCTTTCCCAGTTTTAAGAATTGGGAAAGGTTAATTGTGATGATGGTGGTGCCACACTGACACTACAATAAGGTGTGAGTGTGGTCAGCCACACAGGATGAGTCAGGATGGTGTCAGTGACATGAACACTTTCACAAGTGATCTCAGTAGCCAATGTTTATTGTGTGTAGTTCCATGTGGCCCTCGTCATGAAGCTAATGATCTCTTGACTCTCCCCTTCACATACTATCTCCTCCAAAAATGAGATGGCCAATCATGATTACTATGTGGCATCACCTCATCACTCACTATGTCTTAAAGCCACTGTTCAATAAGGTTGGCTAAGATTAATGACAACCTATAAATTCCTTTATAATGCTGGTCAGCCAGCTAATGTCATTCAGCAACGGCGATGATGTTACCCCTTTAATGAACACAACTACTCATCATTTTCTCTTGACCTCATTCTTTGCCAATTTTACCGTTGGGGATATTTTAAGAGAGATCCTTGGCCATGTTATCTTGAAGGCCAACATAGATCTGCCTGGAAACAAAAGGTCACTTCTAAAATGACTTAATGGTATGATTGGCCGAATGTCCAAAGAGTGCGAGAAACAAGGACTGGCCTAAATGTCCAAGGAGTTTTTATTATATATTAAAAATAAATGCCAGTTGGCCATATTTTCATATGTTGTCTAGTGTCTTGCCTTTCTCTAGTATTTACCACAATAATGATATTTGTTTTCATATTTCTAACCACAGTATCTTGTAAAACATGTTATTGCTGTATAGCCTTACTGGCTTAGCACTTTTTGATAATTATCTTTACAATTACCAACAATTAAAAGTTATAAATGCTAATGATGAGGATTTGACAATTACAAAATAACAAGTAGAATATAGCAGCTCTCCATTATCACTGGTATTTAATACCGATGAACTTGTCAAAACATTATAATACTTAAAACCAGTGATTGAAAGAAATGATCGTAGTGGCACACTTTACTTGATATTTGAGCATGGCAAGTACTTCATGTCCATAATTCTGTTTTATAGGGGAAAAATATTGACTCGTTTGTTGGCAACTTGCTTTAGGATAAGCATCTTTAACCCTTAGACAGAGGCTATCATCAGTTGTTGATTCACAGGGTAATGTGGTTACCTTGCAATGATTTCGGGGGGTTCACCGTCCCTGTGGCCGGTCCTCGACTAGGTCTCCTCGTTGCTGGACTGGTCAACCAGGTTGTTGGACGGAACTGCACGCACCCAGACGTATAAATCGCAGCCTGGTTGATCAGGTATCCTTTGGATACCTGAATGATCAGAATGATTAGTTGATCATGATCAAAACATGTTTGAATAATCAGGTATCCTTTGGATACCTGATCATACCTGACTTTAGTATGATCTTTTGTTCCTAATACACATTTGAAGATTTTCAAACAAATGAGGTTATCATCATGAATGTTACTAGGGGAATTTGGTCATCATATAATGATTTAAACAAATATTGTTTTGGTTTTACATGTATGATGCAAATATGGATATAAAAGCTCTCTGTGGATGTAAATCAAGGAAAACAAGTGAATAAAGTATCGGTGAAACATCAGAGAATAAATTAGGAAGCGTCAGTAAAGTCGAGCACCAGGCTGCTGCTGCTGTTTTAGATTCAGCTTCTCGGAACAAAACGTTCCAAGTAGCACGGCCTATGGTGAGCCCATAGTGGACTTACCTGGCACAGGAGTGGGGCTGTATGTGAGCACCAGGCATTGACAAATGCCAAATGCAGATTTACGGAGCACCTACACCCAGTGAAGCGATACATATTCACTTATTTTTTGCGTTTTTCTTATATTCTGCATACAAATTAAAAATTCTATAATGAAATTTGTATTTATATTTTTTGTGTATAGGCGGGTATGACCATTTCTCCATAGCCACTGTCTAAGGGTTAACTAAAAATGGCAAACATTTCCATAATATTCTGGATCATTTTTGTAATTAGTGCAAGTCTGAAAAGACAAACTGGGAAGTGTTTTCTTGTCTGCTGAAGGTTATTTCTGGATGGCTATAGATGTCACTAGCACTCTTCTTCCTTTTTGGCTTCTTTTCATGATTACTTATAGGACATCCCAGTAATAAATAAGCTGCTTATTAAGGAGCAGTGATAGGTGTGAAGGTGAAGGGGGCAAATGTGAAGGCACAGGATTCACAGAGCACTTGAGAGATGTGTACCTCTTACCCTGATGATGGCAACTTAGCCTGTGTTACTAGTGAGTGTATGAGCTCTGAAGCACAATGAGGTCATCCATAACAATAATAACCTTGGGTTGAGGATGACCTTGCAGTGCTTCACACCTCATAAAGTGTTCAGTAAATACAGACTAAGGGGCGTTGAGTAGAGTAAGAAGTCCAGGTATCGTGCGTGGACACACGACTGCTCTGGGGACAGATTCACGAAAGCACTTACGCAAACACTTACGAACCTGTACATCTTTTCTCAATCTGGCGGCTTTGTTTCCAATTATTAAACAGTTAATGAGCTCCGAAGCACCAGAAGGCTGTTTATAACAATAACAACAGTTGAATGGAAAGTTTTCATGCTTGTAAACTGTTTAATAAATGTAACCAAAGCCGTCAAAGATTGAGGAAAGATGTACACGTTCGTAAGTGCTTGCGTAAGTGCTTTCATGAATCTGGCCCCTGGATTCTATCTTGTTAGAATGGATTTATATTCTGATTTCTGTAACAATAAAAAGTGATAAAGTGAATTAGTGCATATATGCTAGTACAGTATTGGTGCTGATGGCTCGCATAGGGAAAGTGTACTCCTTACTGCACATGTTCTCATTAGCATTACTATAATTCCTAACGCACATCATGACATATTCACACTTGTCCAATATATCAGTATAACTATGGCTCTCATTATAAACTAAAATTGGATTGTAAGTAAACAAATAAAATGCCTTTAAGCATAATTATTCAATTAAACATTAGAGCACAGTACAGTATTGGTAAAGATGAGAGGAACCCGCTGATGGAGATCATTCTTAACTTAAGTAGTAAAGTCGCTGCTATTCTGCATACTTGTCACTGTCTAGACTTGTTTCTGTGAAAGAAAAATAACTACAGTATATAGCCATAATGGCTTAGCACCTTTCCTAATAATTACTTTGGAAGAAGTAGGCCAATTTTTTTTAATCATTCTACATAACTATTCCGATTCATGAGGCACAATATCCATTACGTAACCAATAATTTTAACACTTAAAGAAGTTTGATACAATAATACACAGGGAATATTTCCAAGAATTAAAAAAAAAAAGAATAGTTTGTAATTTTGTTTTCTAAAGTTGTTTATTGTATTGTTTGTATGAACTGAAAGTTTTAAGAGTATTATTGGATGTCAGTAAACCATACTTGCCTCTTTGTTCGCAGTACTTACTGTGTTGTGCATCTCGCGAGGCTGGACAAACTCCTGGTTGTGACGTAAACAAGGTCTTGGTTTGCGGCTTTGTTTGGTTTGTGTTGACATGTATTTCTCTCTGCAGTGTAAAATATATACTGGTATGTCGTGCTTTTTTTTTAGACAAAATCATCTGACTTGGCCTAGTAAGCAAGCTTATTGCTTCTGACTAGGCATAGTTTTTAATTTGTTTTGCTATATCTGGAGGATTTTTTGTTCATAATTATTACAATATGATTAAATGATTAGTTATTATTTGATATCAGTTCAATTTGAATACAAATTGGGTACTACTGAGGAATGATTAGCACTCACCTAACCTAAATAAACTAAGTTAGTCTTTGTTCAAAATACTGTATACAAATTGCATATCATAAGTGTTCAACTGACTATATTTATATATGCTTAAGAAAAAATGGTTAAATTATTCATAAATATAGGAATTCCGAGTATTCAGACATTGTCTAAAAAGCATGACATATATCATACACTTACGAAAACATTTACATACGAACAGTCGTATACTGTCACACACACACACACACACACACACACACACACACACACACACACACACACACACACACACACACACACACACACACACACACACACACACACACACACACACACACACACACACACACACACACACACACACACACACACACACACACACACACACACACACACACACACACACACACACACACACACACACACACACACACACACACACACACACACACACACACACACACACACACACACACACACACACACACACACACACACACCACACACACACACACACACACACACACACACACACACACACACACACACACACACACACACACACACACACACACACACGCACATTTTCACACACTCACACACACACACACACACACACACACACACACACACACACACACACACACACACACACACACACACACACACACACACACACACACACACACACACACACACACACACACACACACACACACACACACACACACACACACACACACACACACACACACACACACACACACACACACACACACACACACACACACACACACACACACACACACACACACACACACACACACACACACACACACACACACACACACACACACACACACACACACACACACACACACATATATATGGACACCACGAGCGTAGCTCTCATGCTGTAACTACACTTAAGGTACTGTAATTACACACTATTCTCCCCACCCCACATTCATATTTATTATTTTTAAACTGATGGGGCAATGGGTGAGCTGAATTTTTAATTGCAATTGATTTTTTTCCCCCCCATATTTCTTCTCCATTATATATTTTATCAAAATCTAAAGTTCCTTCATACAAGTGTTGCCCCACCTGTCTGGACAGTCTTTTTTAATGTTGACACTTGGCTGTAAATAATGTAAAAGTTGACAGACAAGATAAATAGAGCTCCACTGCATAAGAATAAAATAAGTTTTTTGGAAAGCATTGAGTGATGTGTAATCCTGGTTATAAATCATGGTGAGGAAGAACTGGTTTGTATGCCTCTGGAGTTCTGATTTCAAACTTCTTGGCTTTATGTTCATCACCAGAGAATAGATTTCTTGGCAGCTATTTATTGTTAAGCCTATACCAGTTCTTCCGTGTGTGAGGATGATTGACAACGTAGTACAGGCAATTTTGTTTTATTTGTTTTGGTGATCAGTTCCAGAAATTTTGGAGGTCTTTGCTACTTCCTTTGAGAGTACAACTAGTTTATGTCAAGACTCCACACCTGGACTGTAACTGTATTGACCTAGGTAGCTTTCATACTACAAATACAGCGGAGAATAGAGGTTAATTTTTGACGCATTTTTCTTTATGTATCGGTAGTGTCCCTTCCAAACGAGCAAATCTGAGGTTTCTTGAGCCATTCAGTAATTACAAAAGAAAATTTCCACATTGGGTGTTGTCTTTAAGTATCTTAAACTGTAAAATTGCTTATAAATTTGTTTCAACCTTTGCCAGAATGCTTTTTTCTTGGCTGTCATCTGATTTTATGCAATTTGTTAAATGTAATTTAAATGCAATTAAATGTAATTTGGTTGTAAGAAACATAACTGTTCAGGCCTTATCAAATCAGTCTTGGGAAACTATATATGAATGCAACCTGTATTGTGCAAATTCTACACAAGTATACAGTTTTATCATCTTGCATCATGGGGTCCGGTACTTTTTCAAAGCGAGTATTGGCATATGACTACCAGGAGCAAGGTTGCAATATTCTTAAAGTTTGCCTTTGCAATATGTTAAGGCAAATGCAGCCTCGAATGACTGCGCACACAACCGGACGAGTTAGATTTCCCATCTTGTCTTCCGTTTTCCCACATGCTTAGCAAATTGTAAATTTTGCGTACCACATCAAGGTTTGCAATTCATATATTCTACAAGATGTTTCAGCTGTTGGAAAAATGTTGTAGACCTCAACAGATGTTTATGATCAGTTAGAATTTTGGACATTTTAAACACTTGAAATAAGGGTAGAGTTTACTTTGTGGGAGTATGTGCTCTAGTGGACACGTGTATGTGTCCATACATGTGCTCTACTGTTGGGCCACACTATTGAGCCAGTACATCTTTTCCTTCTCCTTCATTCATAAATATTAAAGATAAGCCCAATTGTGAAGTTTCAGAAATTGTACCTAGTGGAAAAGGTTTGAAATGTTTTGGAGCGGATAAGACTAATTTTGATGTTTAGCAGTTAGTTTTCATTTATTGTCATTAGGCATTTAATCATATTTTTAATACACTAAATTGATTAAATTTTAATCAAAAATAATAATAATAATAGCCCTCCAAGCATAATGGGACCTATTAACTAAGCAGTCACTGAATTGGCTGCAAGGCCTGGACTATAATTGATGTGAACCTTGATGATGAGAGGCAACAATGCAACCGTGCCATACCGAGACCATCATGCCTCTCGTGCATCCCTGTTGCTCCCAGGCCAGTCTTACCGTGTGGTCACAAAATGGGTATATTTGAGTTCTAGCATGCTAGGAGAGTAGCCCATATTGAAAGTTGTAAAGATATTGAACTTGGTTCCAAGAGGTGGTTTCACCAGTATTTATAGGGACAGTATTCAGTGCCTTTTTTGACTAAAATGTAAAATCATCTTCTCTGTCATGATAACTATTTAATCTTTAAAAATAATTTTAGTCGTCTTAATAATGATGCTATATTATGGGTTACTTTTCCAAGCTCCCGTTGGCTTTTGGGTACTTGACCATTGCACTCGATGCATATTTATGTGGGACGTATCCATAAGTCTGAGGGGCACTTTCATTTTAGGCAAGCATGACAAAAAGAGAAAAATATTTTGAGTAAGTTATTTTTTATACCTCACGATGTTGTTGAAGTTCAAATGCATTTTTATAATTTTTTCTTATTCTTTTTTCTTTTGTTGGAAGGGACCTATGTTTGTCTCTCAGGGTCCATGAAGTACGGTAAACTCACACTTATGTGATGACTAAATGTATCTTTTAATAATAAAAATATGAATTGAATAAATTTTTTATGATCTTGCATAATGATGATGCTAAATTTAGTTAATATTTTGTTTCCAGTTTACCTTTTCTTGTAGATGCCTGCAAGAAGCAACCATATTCTTCAAGGTCTTCCAGGGTTTTCTGAACTGCTTACCATCCAAGAAGACAAATTATATGAATATAACTATAAAACTTGATACTACAGTAATGTACACAATTTGTAAGTCAAGCTGTAAGAAGACACATTACCAAATGTTGAAAATGAAGAGGTGAGTTGATGAGTTCATGAGTAATGACTTGCACATCCATAAGCACCTAGTTGCCTCAGTAGATACCCATGTCACTTTTAATCCCCACCTGGACTGGAACAGGAGGCAATCTGCCACCTAGCTACTTTGCCCTGCATTGATGTGATCTTGGATCAGGTCTGCAAAAAAGTCCAGTTAAATAGCAGCATTTGCCTCGTGGTCAACGTTGTCAGCTCCTTCAAGTAGTTAAGATCAGTTGTGATGATAGGACCCTTCCATCTGTAATTCTTGCCAGTACCAGACGCTCTATTCGGGTATACATTCCCTCTCCACACCTCTTCAATAGGTGTTGGAATTTGGACATGGTCCAGCAAAATGCACTAGTGAGGTATCCCTTTGCCCCTTAAATCCTGACACCTCCACCATTCCCCTCCTTCCACTCCTCTGTGATATTTAGCCGAGGGCTCCTGGACCACCAATCAGCATTGCCACTATTCCTTCCCAGTCTTCTCCTGTCCATTGTTCTGGTGTTGCCTCTCCTCTCTGTCCACTGTGACCTCCTTTACCTTTCATCTCGGCCCTCCCTTCTGTCCTTTGGCCCTCCCTGAGAACTGTCCATCCATAAATATCCATCTTCCTCCTAGACGTCTTTGTGTTGGCCACTCTCGTCTCTCTCTGCCTGAGACAGTGGAAGCTGCTGCACAGTATACTAGCATGCCAATGTCTCAGTCAGAAACAGAAACCATGTAACTCTTATTACACCCTCCCCAGTGGGGAAGAAGGCTTCAGTCCATCCCCTACTGCCTACCTCCGACTGTCCTTGCATCTCTTCTCATCTTAGTGACAAGAGCCAGCTGACTTCACTATGGAAAGTCCCACAGCCATTGATTCTTCCTCTGGTGCTGTCTTAAGTTCCCTGCTGTTTCTGCTCGGGTGCTTCCTTCCTCAGCAGACCATGTCAGGTGGTTCGCCTCTGCCCCTTCCTACTTCCTTCCACCCTGATTTCACTGTACCTGCTCCTGATCCTCCCTGATATACTGTGCTCTTCTGTGCATTAATTATTATCATTTTCTTTTTACTGTTTTCTGTACTTGATTATGTTCATTGGAATATATGTGGTTTTTGTGCCAATTACCATTTTGTGCTTGTCTCCAGGAGCCGATGCTTCGTGTTCGATTCTGGTCACTTCTATGGTTATTCTTTTATCTCTTCCTCTCCAGTTTTTGTTGGTACCTCTAATTCTACTGCCCTCTTGGTCCAAAATGATATTCCCTTTGTCCCCCTGCTTTTTTAATCAAACTTTCATTCCTTTGCTGTCCATATCTTTGTGAGTAAATGGTACACCATCTGTTCCACTTACTCCCACCAATATATTCCACTTTTTCTTCCCGATCTTAAACACCTGTTGAACTCATTTCCGGAGCCTGTGCTCCTTTTGGGTGATGTTAACTGTTGGCCTGCCCTCTTGGGCAATGATCTGACAAATACCTGAGGCCACATTCTAGAACATTTCACCCTCTCTTCTTCCTAGTTTCTCTTTAATTCTGGCAAGCTGACGCATGTTGTGTTGGCTCTGTTCCCTTTCATCACCCAAATGACTTTGGCTATGTTACATATTGGCCATACATGCTTAGCTCACAGGTATTTAGTGAAATGCCGTACTGCTCCTTATTGTCCAAACTGCATTGTCTCGCTAACAGTCGTGCACCTCTTTGTAGAATGTCCTGATTTTCAGGACAATTGTATGTCTTGCTTTAATAAAGGTCCTCAAGGTCCTTTGTTCCTTTATATAATCCTTAGTGAATCCAAAACCTTTGATGTTGCTCACCTTATATGCTTTTGTTCTTGTACTGACATCCTAAGTGATATGGTTTGATATGTTGCATAAATAGATGATAACAGAATGGTAAATAGTGTATTTGATGGCAGGAGGAGAGAAATGCCGAGATAAAGGTAAGAGGACACAGAGAGCATGTTAAGAGGCAAGGATGTGTGAACAACACATGAGATATAGTAAGGGACAAGGCTGAGTGCAAGTGTTGAGAGAGTTGATGTATTTGTACTGTACATGGTAATTCATGAGGAACACTACATCTGGTCTTAGAAGCTGCAGTGGTGAGCTGTGAATGATTGCTGGAGTAATGCTATATACTGTAGTGTGAAGGATCAACAACATGATTGATTCATTTTATTTTTGTAATATCTACTGAGTGGACAGCGCTTCGGATTCGAAATCCTGAGGTTCCGGGTTCGAACCCCGGTGGAGGCAGAGACAAATGGGCAAAGTGTTTCTTTCACACTAATGCCCCTGTTACCTAGCAGTAAATAGGTACCTGGGAGTTAGACAGCTGCTACGAGGTGCTTCCTGGGGGGGTGTAACAAAAAGGAGGCCTGGTCGAGGACCGGGCTGCGGGGACGCTAAGCCCCGAAATCATCTCAAGATAACCTCAAGATTATGGCTGGTGGTGAGGGAGGACCAAGTGTTTCAGTGATCTGAAGGGTAGTTTAGAACAACTTTAGTAGCTTGCCTAAGGTGAAAAAAAAGTTAGAAAAACTGACCTTTTGGCTTCATACCACATGTGTGCTGGCTGTGCATGAAGACACTTACAGTCCCTGTGTCCTTTAATTAAGAATGTTTTTACCACATGGTTTTGGCTTCTGGAAAGCAACACACTTCTTTGGTAGTGATAACGGTGAAATAGGTGTTTTGATGTGGCCAGACTGAGTTAACTGTTTGCTTCGGCAGTAAAAATAAATACATTTATGTATTTATACAGTATTTATGTATTTACATATAGTGTTTATGTATTTATACAGTACCAGTATTTGACTCAATGCAATTTAACTTCCTTTTAAGAAACCCAATTCACAAGGCACCTTCTGTAGTGACTTTTGGTCCATTGCCCTGATGAGTTATGTCTAAGATTTTTAACATATGATTAATATACATCTTTTGTAGTTTTTTAACATCATCGTTGCAACTCCCTCTCTCAATTTGGCTTTTGCCAAATTAATCACAGTATGACTGATGTCTTGGTGGAGTTGGAGATTTATATACTGTACAGTACAGTACTGCCTTTGCTATGCCTTAGTGGCAGCTTCTTATTTTTAACCTGGAGAAGACTTATTGTACCTCCATGAGTGTCATATTTCAGCCCAACTATTCTTTTGGCCATCGAGGCATTCCTCCCACTTTAACTTCATAGCTTCCTCTCGTTGTATTTTCAAAGTTCAGCTCAGTATTGTACTGGTTTCTCTGGCAGTATTCCCTAAATGTCTCTCCTGTTTGCCCTTCTTTAATCTCCCTGTTGAGAGTTCTCCACTATGTGGACAATCTTCTACCTGCTGTCACAGCAATGATTTCTCCCAATTACAGCACTTCCTCCTCCTGGTGACTGACAAAGTGTTGTCTTGGGCTTCCAGTCATGGCTTCAAGTTGTCTATAACAAAGACTTATAGTTTCAAGTAAGTCATAACACGTTGTTTCTTATCTATCCTTGTATCTCTGTGTGTATAGAGAATGCTAAACTCACAGGATTGATCTTTGACACCTCACTTGTCTTTGTTCCCTATGTTATTTACATCCATAATGAATGCTCTAAAAGCCCTCTTGCCTTGTTTGTTCCATACTTCCTGAGACTGATGAGTGCATGCTCTTCCGTTTGCATTCCTCCATTGTATTGCTGCACTGCATATTCCTTGGATGTTAAGTCATCTCCATGTACACTGTACAGGGTTGCACCTTTGCTTTCAAACCTTTTGTTCAGCCTCTATCCAAGCTTGTAGAGACATAACACTGGTTTCAACATATAAAATCATCACAACTGGTGTTGCCCTCAGTACTTTTTGCTGTCTACTTCCCATTTGGTGGGCTTGTTTCCTTCTTAGCTTTTCCTGCAGTGATGACTTGTTAACAGGACTCGCTGTTGATACATGTCTGGCCATTCCTACCTCACCCATCTCCCATAAGAGGACCCCTTATTTGGATTTCTATCTAGTCATTCATACCACAATCCGCAACTGTTGATGTGACAGTCCGTTATTACAGACAATAAATTGTAAACTCCTAAAGGTAGCCTTTCCTCCTAACACCGTATTAGGTGGTGGGTATTTATTACAACAACGATCTGCTGCTTATTGTCTGAATGACATTTTTAGAATGTCCTGATTGTCAGGTTGATAGTAAGTCTTGCTTTCCTAATGTCTCTAAAACTTGATGCGTCTGATGCCTCTCATATCATGTCTATTTTGCTCTCGTATTGACATCGTCGGTAAAATTTAGGATCTGACTATCCTGGGACACAGACGGTGGTGCTAAATAATGTTCCTGGCTTGGTGTCATCTTTCATTAATTATTTGGATATTATTCATATTCAGGTAAATACAAAATTTATTACAAAGATTTTTATAACAATTTAATAAATACATAGTATTGTAATGCAGTTGTGTGTAACAAAAGCTAATATGGTATGTAGCATTACTGTACTTGTACAAAAAATGTAATGCCAGGTAATTTAGTTTTGCAATAACATTTGCTGCTACGTATTTTAATGATAATCAGTTAGTATTTCATGACCACTTTCTGTAACAAGAATTGTGTGTTCAAATTGTGCAGCTCGTCCATTATCTAACATAACTGCAGTCCATCCATCCTCCAAAATTAGGGCATCTTCCTTGCCCTGAGCCACAATGGGCTCGATAGTAAAAGTCATCCCTGCCTCCATACAACCTGGGTAGTCATTATCTGTCAAATGAAAACACAGCTCAAATGAAGGCAATTAGTATAAAAAAAAATGCACATGTTAGATATATCATCATTGCCATAAAACAAAAATCTAGTATAAAATGTATTTGGGGGGGGGGGGGGAGCCCTCTGTCACTTCAAGCTACCCAAATGGAGTTTTCCAAACCCAAGTACCACACCAGGCTCTTAAGTCGTGAATGCCAGGACCAGAATCTGACCCCAAAATACATAGAGGCATAGGAGAGTTGGAATACAAGATCAACCACAACAAAAGCTAAAATCACCAGAAAGGTGGAGCATACCAAAACAAGTAACTACCTGGGCGACATTTGCAACCCTTACTTTAACTATGTACACATTCATTGTCTAGGTTCATCCATTAATTATCCCCATACCCTTACCACCAAATGGCTGCCTTGGAGATCCAAGGGTCTCAGGCAGCTACCCATTATATCTGCAATGTCCCAGCAAGACACTCTTGAGCACCACTGGAAAAAGGGGAAGGGCAGGAACAGGGCGATACAAAGGGTACCACCAGAAAGAGGCATTTCATTGCATTCAATGATGGATTTCTAGGAGGGCTTTCCTATATATCACCCATGTTGTGTCACCACAGAGAAAGGAACACAAACAAGGGTTGACTACAATGGGAGCAAAAAGACATGAACCTGAGCAACAATCATGGCCTTAAGAAGTCAATTAAGTGGACAATACTGCAATCGCCAGCAGATGAAATGAGCCTGCAAAGAACAGGACAGTCAACGAAACTACCCAGCATGTCGACAAGAAATCTGGATACTGAAACAAGGAGCCAGGGACACATGCCCAACAAATAAAGAACACACCCAAAGACCCAAGCTAAACAAAGAATAAGTACTGCCTCAGTAGGCAGAACTTCCTGGACAGTCACAGATCATTGTAAGTGGAAGGAACCAAGACCCAGATTAAAAGATGATTGCCCACAAAGACAACCAGGACCAATTACAGGTATAAGGAGGGAGGACAAAAGGAAGATGAACTTGAATCATACCAAGAAGGTCCAGGAAATGAAGAACCGAAAGCCCCAGACAACCCCTGGAAAGGCAGAGCTGCCAGGAACAGGAAACAGGCAGCCTAGAACCAGGACAAAGAAAAGACAAGCCCACTTAGGCCAGTGCTAGTCAGAGAGGACAGAGCAAAGCAGAAAACATGCCAAGCCACCCAACACTGCGGCCAAGAAGGCAGCAAAGGACTCACCAGAAAAATGTCATAGTCAACTATGGTCGTGGAGCAACTGAAGACAACAAAACAACCTGTCAGAGAGTCTGCTCAGAGGAGTCAGCCAAAGGACTACTGTAGCATTAACAACAGACTGCAGAACATAGGCTACATAGCACCCGACTAATCCTCAAAAAGAGCCTGACAAAAACAAAGCAAGGCTCAAGTAGCCACTAAGGCCACTTTGCTGGTAGAATGCAGGCAGGAAGAATGGGGAAAGGAACTTGGAAACCCAACATTGGTTTGGATGAAAACAGCAACCATGCACATTTGCAACTGTGAACGGGGCAACAAAGTTTAGAAGCCATGCACATGCACACAAACAAATAATACCCAAATATCTCACAAAACCAACGGGAGGACAATGACTGCCCATCCAACCAAAGAGGATGGACTACAAGGATGAACCATCCGTAAGTAAAGTTGACAACTCAAACAAACCTGCAGGTCCTAATACCGAGAACTAGAAACTTGGCAACAACCAACGCCAGCCCAACCAAAAGATACCAGACCTACGTACCACACCAGGGAAAACAAAACAACCAGATCATGGTTGGAAAGTAGACAGTATGCACCGGTCTGTTCAAAGCAGTTCTGGGGTAATCTACTCTTTTTGTCCTTGAGCAAAGGACAAGGACAAAAAGAGTAGATTACCCCAGAACTGCTTTGAACAGACCGGTACATACTGTCTACTTTCCATACATACACACCTGAAAAGATTCAACTAAATACTTGATGGCAATTAATAAAGTAGAACAAATACATAGTAAAATGCCAGTCATTACACCAACACTTTGCTGAATGGTGGTGCCTTAAGAGCCAGGATGCACCAGGAGAACTGCACCATGTGTGTGTGTGTGAGGGACTGGGTTAGCTAAGTGAAAGACATTTGAATCATCAATGGGCGAGTAGTGTGGAGCTAACTAGGAGTTGGACCTAGGCAACAAGTGCGTACATAGTTGAAATCAGTGTTGGAAATGTTGTCCATGCAGTTTGTTTTAGTGCACTAACTTTATGGTGATTTTCCCTCTCGTAAGGTGCCTGCTCTTTTATTCCCACTTCCCCATGCCTCTATAAAGGGGGGCCAGATTGTGGCCCTGGCCTTCGGTAGGTGCTTGTGATTCATTAGAGCCTGACATGGTATCTGGGTTTGGAGATCTTCAGGTAGGTAACTCAGAGATACAGAGGGGAGCCCTCCCAGAAGTGATCTTAACTAGTACAGCACATAAAAAAATGTGTATATGTTTGAAAATACTTACAACAGTGATATATGTCTGGAGGCCCATGGAAGTACTGTCCAATGCCATGACCAATGAAGCAAGGCACTACAGTCACTCCGCCTTGAATAGCCACTTCTTTTACCTTGGTACCTGATGGATGCCAAGTTGTATTTCAGTTTAAAATCATCTTAATTTTACAAATACTGTATAAACAGTAAATAAATAAAAGGAAATCAATAAAAACTACATGTTGCAATGGACAAAAGTGACAAATTTGTATGATTTGATGTGGAGCACTATACAAAAATGTAAAAAATAAAAAGCCAAAAGCAGCATGTGACATACAGGCACATACATATGGGGCCCAAGTGGTCCATTTTGCTGTACGATTACCAATTTCATTGCTGTGCCGATAGTTCATGCTCATTATATGCAAGAAAACGGATTTGCACCTGTACTCTCCCCTCGGGACGGTGCTTTGACGTTGTGAGGGGGTTTGCCACCCACGGGTAGGATGGGGTAGCTCTTGTTTTACTCTCCTGCCTGCTATGGCAGTGCACAAGCAAAACCTGTTTCCATATGTTGGCAGTGTATGGAGACCTATAAATACCCTTGTGTTCCTTTATCTGAGAGTCAAGCCTACCCAGAGGCTATGATGCCTAGGGGTGCAAAGTGTTTTTATGGGGAGGGGATGGAGATAAAAAGGGAGGTTCAGTGCAGCCCACCTGAACCAATCGAGTCGTCTGGTCAGCCCCGCCTAGTTAAGACATCGAGGCAAGTTGGCATTGTAGGGTTGGTACCCCTGTTGGTCCCTGGGATGCTGTCCAGCCAAGCAAAGGTGATCCATGTATGCTGTTCTGGGTACCTCTTGAGGCTGCTTGCCCTTGTAAGCTCCTGTATTACTCTGTGGTACTATTAAAAAAACTAAGTGGATTTGTTACACAGAACGTTCCTGTTCGATAACCATACTGTTTGTCCGTTATTATGTCAGTACTCTCTAGGTGTTCAACTCATTTGGCTTTAACTATTGTTTCTAGTGTTTTGACTACCACATTTGTTAATAATACGGGTCTATAATTTAGAGGTTCCTTTTTTACAACCATTTTTTATAGAATGGTACTATGTTTGCCCTTTTCCATATATCTGCTAAGATTCCTGTGCACAAGGATGTCTGGAATATTAATTAAGAGTGGAATGCTCAACTCAGTTGCACATTCTCGCAGCACCCAAGATGAAACTCCATCAGGTCCAACTGCTTTATTTCTTCCTTGCCCCCTTGAGTAATTTTTTCACTTCATCTTGTGATACCTCTATGTATTCTATGGCTTGCTCTGGAATTGGTATCGAGTCCCGTTCTATGAAATCCTCATTTTGTACAAATACGCTTTGGAACTGTTCATTTAGCATTTCACATATTTGTTTTTCATTCTCAGTAGTCCTGTTCCCCATTCTTAATCTCTGGATTTTATCTTTTACATGCAGCCTGCTTTTAATGAATTTACAGAAAAGACCTGGATCAGTTTTACATTTGTCTGCTATACCTTTCTCAAGGTTTCTTTCTACCTCTCTCAATTACACTGTTGTGTAATTGTTTCTTGCTTGCTTGTAGTGCTGGTATGTTTGTGGGTTAAGCCTCTTCCTATATTGAACCCATTTTCTTGTCTTTTCCTCTCTGGCCCTCTCACTATGTCTGTTGAACCAATCCTGTTTTCTGGTCCTGCATCTCTGTTATGGTGTGAATATTTGTTTGCCTTCATCGTATATTTCACAAAATTTGGCATAAATCTCATTTACTTCCTTGCCTAGCAACAAGCCTGCCAATTAAACTCTTAAATTTTTTTTAAAAGTTCCCATATAACTCTCTAAATTCTCTCTCTTGAAATCAAGTTATTCAACTGTTTTAATGTCCCATTCTCTTCTAGATTATATTGCAAAGCATATTTAATATCCAATAGGACATGATCACTCTTTCCCAAGGGAGGAAGATACTGAATGTCAAATATCTCTTCTTCTTTCCTGGTGAATATTAGATCCAGTACTGATGGAACATCTCCGTCCCTCATTCTTGTGGCCTTGACGTGTTGATACATGAATGTCTCCAGAATGAGGTTTATAAATCTGCCTGTCCAAATGTCCTTCATTCTTGCTTCATAGGTCTCTTAGTCTATTGCTTTAAAGTTGAAGTACCCCGGTACCAACAATCTTGATTTATCTATCTGCTTTTACTATAATCTCTCTCATGACCATTATGAGGCCCTCTCGTTTGTCATCCAGTTCCTCCTTTGTCCATGTGTTGCTTGCTGGTGGGCTGTAGGCATTTACAATTATCAGTTTATCATCCTGATTCCAGACCTGCAATGCCATTATGTCAACTTTTGAGGTTTTTCAATTATTAACTCTCTTACTTTCAGGCGTTCTTTCACCAGCACAGCCACTCCTTTCCTTCCTTCCTAGGTGTATTAAAGCATTTGCTTGGAAATACCCCAGAGCATAGGTTTGAATCCTCCTCATGATTCTTACTGATTTGCTCGTTGATACATCACATTAATGTTATTACTTTGTGTATTTTTTTCAAGAGAAGCGTAGGAGTTAGAATTCCTAGACTACAAGCCAGTGCATGGGGGCATTGTGTGAAACCCTAGTTAGGCTTCAGTGCAAGCCTCAGGACCCTAGAGGATTCAGTGGAATCTCAGGTTGCATTGCTTTTTACCATGTCATGGTGTGGTGGTCTAGGGCGTGTGCTTGGGAGTATACCCAAAGCATACGTTCGAATACTCCTCACAACAACTACTAATTTTCTCATCGATACATCACATTAATTTCTTCGTGTACTGATATGTTATGAAGAGTGTACATATACAGTACTGTATATACATTGTAGGCCTAGAAACACTATCCTTATTAGAGGGTAATGTACTCACTCAGTTTTTGTGAATTATATGTTCATAAATTAAGTTATTCAACATTCGTACTGTAGTAAACACCTAAAAACAAGGGATAAACAATCAAAGAAACATCCACATAAGGGCAATTATAAGGAAACCTGGACCAAGCCTGGAATGATGTGATCTAGTTTATTGAGGGTACAGTGCAGTATATAAAATATGGTATATAAAATCAAAATTAGATAAGAAAACTCACCAATAGCAGCAAATGGAACTCCTGGAGCACATATTGATACAGCTGCATCTCGACACCTTCTTGCTGCTTCTACTAAATGCCGACCTGCTTCATCGACATTACCAATTAAGTAGGTCTCGCAACAATCTCCATGATAGCCATTGTAGAACACCTATAAATACATTGTTACCTTAAGATCAGTAAAATCTGTTTACTTTCGTATGTGTATTAATACAACATGTGTATACATTTTCTGTGTGTACTTGAAACAGGACGAGGCATACACTTGGAAGCATGGGTTTATATCTATATATCCTTAGTAGAGATGTACATTACAGCTTTGTCAGGCTTATTTTTAAAGTTGATTTGTGTGATCTGAGAAGACCTTAGGTGGCCATAACAATTCAAAATATAAATTACAGAAGCCAACTCAACTATTTGCTAAATTATTCCTTTCTGACCCCAGATGCTTAATCAATCAGGTACAGTATAATGTTTCAAGAGTACAATAAGGCAAATATGGCAATAGCCAGAAAAATGATTAGGTGGATAATAAGAGCATCTAAAACATGGGATGCCATGCCAATAATTATGACCAAGTACATTTACTGAAATAGCCTAATTTCCCAAAAATTTGTTACTATGTCTAACGTCCTTCACCAATGGTGCTACTCTTCAAAGCACTGGTGTTATTTTTTATACAATATTTCTCAGTCCTTACATTACCTATCAATGAAGATGAACTAGCAGATATAAAATACTGTATACAGAAATCTGTCTGCAGAATGAGCGAAGCACTTAAAACTAATAGGATTGCCTCAAAGCACATAACTGTAGGCTTTGGAATAGAGACGAGATACATCTTATAAAATACGCATGGAAAATAATGGAAGGTCAGTTTCCAAACAGAAGAGATAGCTAAGAATATGTAAAAGAAAAATAAATCCAATGAACGGTTAGGTATTACGAACACAAAACACAGTAGACATCAGAGGTCCACTATTCTACCTCCTGCCAACAAATATAAATAATGTTCCAAGAACAATGGTGGAAGCTTTCAAGGGGTAACCCAAATTTTTGCTGAAATTACAACAATAGCCTGGCTATGTGACCCTCCAGGCTATTAACATAAACAGCCTCCTAAACAGACTGAGAAGATTTCTAGGTCTAAACTATCCAGTTATAATAAAGGTGAGTAAGATGAAGTATTATACTACCTGTATAATGTTTGGAAAATACTAAAGTATTTCACCTGAATTTATCTGATGGCCACTACTACTTATCTTGAAAGAAGTGAGAATAAAAGATCCCCACAGAATGTCAATCAATACTTGTCACACCTTCATAGACAATTAAGATAAAAAGGCTTCTACTTCTTGTGACATCTGCACATTGTAAAGGAAAGCTTTTACTTACTGTGACATCAACCGAAACAATGTCGCCATCCAGCAGGTGACGGTCGTCGGGTATGCCGTGACAGGCTACATTGTTAACACTGGTGCACACACTTTTAGGGAAGCCCAAATAATTTAAAGGAGATGGGTATGCTCCACTAGCAATTATTTTAGTATGCACGAGCTTGTCAATGTCATCTGTTGTCATGCCAACCTGAAAAAATGCACGATTAACATGAATTAAAAATATATACAGTACCAGAAAAAAGTTGCTTTTTAAATTATAATTCAATACAGTAGTCAACTTCTTGTTTCATATAAGGATGTGCTCCCAACAATCCAATTGCATTTTGACCACTACATACAAAATATATAAAATGTGGCTTTTTATGAGAAAAAGTAAGATTCATTGCAATACCACACATGCTTGTTGGAAACAATAACTAAATCACTGAGGTAAAGCAGAACCTGTTTATTCATGCAAGGCAAGAAGGACAGGATTTATGCCTGAGGATATTTAACAGGATACGCTAGACAGCATCACACTGTACACAGTGCATTAGGAAACTCAAGTAGGTCAGGCTTGTGTGTTCAATTCTAAGTCGTGCTAGAGTCCTTTCTTTGTGTCCATTTAATATGGGAAGAAGAAAGCTAAATATTGATGTTGGATTGAATTTCTTGCTAACAGACAAGTTTCATTGAAAAAATGCCAAAACTGATTACAAACTATGTTATAAAAATATATTGTATTGCTTTAGTGAGGATCATAACCAGCTAACTCGACCAAAATATGGAAAGTGACAAGAATGACACCACAGGCACAGGTTCGTCAATAAACAAGCGGCACACAATGATCTGATACATAATTAACCCTTACTAAGCACAATATGAATAATTAATGGTGGTGGGTATAGGAAGCAGGCGATGTATCAAGTATCAAGTGAATGGAACTGGAGTGTGATCTACGACCACAGTCACACATCTTTGAGATATAAAGTTAACATTCTGCAATTGCAGAGAAGGTTGAAGACTTGAAACATGAAGATTTAGAAAATCATGATATGAGGCAAGCTGAAGGACAGAAGACAGGAGACGCCTCTTCACCCACAGTGTAATAAAGTAAACCCATGGAAGTGCCTACCTGCTGAAGCTATAAATGCTAAGACAATACCCACAGTTCAAAATTCAGTTGGAAAAAATCCTCAGGAATAATGGGAAGATCTTCAACAAGCTCTTGGCTTCCTGTCCCCTCATGACCACTAGAGATTGCAGCCCTCAGATGCAGGTATAAACTAAATGGGGCACACCATCATGACTGCTCTTCATGTTTAGTCCTTACATTTCCTCTAATGGAAAATGCACATAAATTAAATGTACTGTACTGTGTTATAAAAGTTTCAAAATAATTTGCCTGTAAAATTGTAGTTATGTAGGTAGAAGTAGGGAAAATGCCCAAAAATATCATACTGTATATATACCATTGTGTTGGCCTTGCAAGTGCACACAATATGTAGGATCAACATCCTGACTAGGTGGAAACTGAACATGCATCACACATTAAGTTCCAAGAATACCAAAGAAGTGAACTGCGACCTCCAGGACTGCTAGGCAATGAACTGATATCTGTGGATGGCTATTAAAATCATTTGCCACCAATTCATACAGTGTTCCAAAACTAGCAAAAAAAAAAAAAAAAAAAAGTTATATGAGGCTAGAGAAAGTTTTCAAGAGCTCAATGTTTAGTTCACAGCACTTTTGTAATAAATAAATTTTTAGTGGTAGGAAAACTTATGTTTCCTTAGAGAATAACACTATTCTCAAGGATATATCGATATATTTTCAAGTTAATACCTGTAGCAGGAGTCCTAAAACATGTTATAAGTACTAAGCAGACAAAAGTAAGTTATAGGCACATAAATTAAATACTGTATTAAAAACACAGATACATAAATATTGCATGTTTACAAATTATCAACAAAACTTCCATTACCTGAATATTTTCACCAACAATATTGAGTATACTGCGTGCCAGGTAACAGGATTCTTTCATGGCCTGCACTTGATAATTTGCTTTGATTTCTGGCGAGGATGGAGCCGAGGAAGGTTCTCCAGTTTGTGCGTATGGAGGACAAGGTATGTGGGAGGGCACCTCCCGGGTTGCCGACACTTCTCCAACATCATCAAGTACGGTGTAACTACCAAAGTTAGCTCTGAAGCACATGCACATTATATTTGATGAGGCTCTATTCACAGAGAAATCACAATAGTGTGATGTATCAAATGAACAAATTCACAAGGGCCGTGATGAGGGTTCGAACTTACGTCCGAGAGGATCCGGACGTAGATTAAGTCGATTAAGCTTTCTTAAACACAGTTGATTAAGGTACGTCTGGAATCCTCTCAGATGTAGGTTCAAACCCTCATCATGGCCCTTGTGGTTTTGCTCAGGCTCTATTCATATTTTGACTTTCTTCAAAACAGTTTAAAAGACACTAATGGGTTGAAAAGGATTCAAAGTACAAATGTTCCAATTATGGAGATCACTGTGATCAGTGGCATATAACCCCCTGCACTGTACACTCAGTTTATATAACAAACCCCCTAGTGAGCAAGATTTGATTTCAATGACATGTAATGTCAAAGTCTATACTGTATATTATTATATTAAAGGCACCTCTTTTACCTACCTTTTGAATATATCCCAAATGCCACGATTGTGTTGAATTTGTTTCACATTTGGAATACTGCCGAGTATATTTTGAGGGGAAGGAGACTTCAATGACATTATCCTCTTTGACGATGACAACACAGAGAAGCTATGTGTACACTGTAGAAATTCTTGGTTGACTAAGTGTGGCTTCCTGGCTTGAACCATTTTATTTGTTAGAGGATATGTATTACTGAACTGTGGCTGTAGTGATCGATGCAGATTGCGTCGGCAGTATTTTGCTTTAGTGCCCGTCTCTGAATCAGTAACTGACACTTTGTGTGTATCACCATCGTCACTATAACCTGCTCTACACGAACCAATTATCTTGGTAGATATTATTTCATACGGCATTAAAAGTGATTTACAATTACCACTTACTAATGAATGTGTCACTCTTGTAAGCATTGTTCCAGTTAACATCATGACTATGATTTCAAATATAATATCAAACAAGTACTTTTCTGTACAGTACTGTACTTTGATGTTCAATATTTTCTACATAAAATACAGTAAAACAGTGATACTCTGTTAATAAAGACAGATCATTACTCCACTATTGATCTAAAGTAAAAAAAAAAAAAAAGTTTTCATGAAATTCTTGTACAATTTTATTCATAATAAATAAGTGAAAGCTGTTAAGTCAATATGAAGCCCTGAATGTGATGACTATTCTACTCACAAAGGACAGAAAACACACATGAATGAAGACTGAGGGGATTAACACTTATGTTTTCTAATAATTATTCTTGTAAATTCTTCTTCATATTAGCTTCACAACACCACTGAGATACTGTAGGTTAAAAAGCAATACAAAACATTAATTTCCCACAAAGTTATCTGTGTACTGTATTCCGAGGATAAAATGCTCTCATGTTTATTTATTTATTTATATATATACAAGAAGGTACATTGGGTTTGTGAGAATACATAGCATAGTAATTACATTCTTGTAAAGCCACTAGTACGCGCAGCATTTCGGGCAGGTCCTTAATCTAAGAAAATTTTACGTAGATAAATACTTGCAAAATTGATAAAAATGATAACAGTTACAGGGAGCCGGTCGGCAGAGCGGACAGCACACTGGACTTGTGATCCTGTGGTCCTGGGTTCGATCCCGGGTGCCAGCGAGAAACATTGGGCAGTTTCTGTCACCCTATGCCCCTGCTACCTAGCAGTAAAATAGGTACCTGGGTGTTAGTCAGTTGTCACGGGCTGCTTCCTGGGGGTGGAGGCCTGGTCGAGGACCGGGCTGTGGTGGATATGTGTGTTCCGAACCTTAATGGAATCTGACCCATATATCAATCAGGTCAACCCATGTGTTGCGTTTCCAAAAGGGTCGCCCATGTTAGAATCGGTGAACGCCCTAGTAATATTGTTGAAAACATCTTAATAACTTATTAAACCAAAGGTCTTTTTATGTCAGAAGAACGGCAGAAACTGGATCTATATATGAAAACTCTTTCAGGACAAAATTTAAAGTAAAACTAAAGATATTTGTAGTTGTATAAAAGTTGCATTTTTCATCGGTCGTAGAGCCGGAAATCCGCAATATTCATCTCAGAACAATGCTTATTTCACGCAGAATCGTTAATAAACGTAAGATTTTTATACGTCTCAAGAAAGATAGAAACATAATCTTCATTTTAAATGCCTTACCATGGGCATATTTGTATTTAAAGCGAAGATACGTGTATTTTTCTAATCGGCGAGCTCCGATCCCGCACAGATCGAGCAACGGAGTAACTCTCTCTCAGAACAATGCTTATTTCACGTAAATTCGTTAATAAACGCAAATGTTTTTATATGTGTTGAGAAAGATAGAAATATAAGCTTCATTTTAAATACTTTACCATAGATATATATAAAGTTCTAATGAAGATACATGTGTTTTAATAATCGCCGAGTTCCGACCCCGTACAGACTGATCGACAGAGCAACTCTCTCTCAGAACAATGCTTATTTCACGTAAATTCATTAATAAACGCATATGTTTTATATGTCGCAAGAAAGATAGAAATATAAGCTTCATTTTAAATATTTTAACATAGACATATATAAAGCTCAAGTGAAGATACATACGTTTTTATAGTGGCATTCAGTAGCTTGTCGGTCATGGAATGCAGAAGCCTACGCACTTGCCAATATAGTGTGTAATTAACAAAGATACGCTTATAAAGCCTAAAATATTATATGCCTTCAGAAAGACAGAGATATGCTCGTTATTGTGAGTGCACCAAAGGAAATATATCTTCTTGGAGGACAAAGATATATCAATTCTAAAATAAGTTTCGACTCTCGCTCGGGCGAGATAGCGCGACTCTCGCCCCATCTATTGGAGATTCTGTTCACCTAATGACCCAAAGCTACTCAAAGCCTCCTAACATTACTTAAATAATGAAGAAATATGGTATATTTATTCACTATAATGTTGGTACTTAATGCAGAACACGAGAAAACATATATTTACTATAAAATAATATACTTCCATTATGAAATAAGTAAATATGTGGCCTCATAGGAAGTCAACGGTCCATGTGTCAATGTTGTGGAGCGACTTATCCAAGATATATTGTTGTCTGGAAAGTGTTTGTTGGCATATCAACCTTCTGTACACAGTGATCCAGTCGTCGCACTTCTCTCCTTAAATGATCGCAAATTTAGTTTATTATATTAACAAGTAGAATACGTATTTCTAATAATATCTAATATAACTAGCAAGAAAATATTTAAGACTTATTGAAAAATACATGTCTGGAAGTTAAATCGACTTCATAGAACAATAGTGTTGGTCTATACTAATCGTTATTCGTTAGTATGCGTTCGCTACTTAAAACATTTACTGTACTGATGTAAAATCTCCCATGTCTCTTCGCACATGGAACACCGAACCTTACACACTCTCTGATATATTGTTTAATTAATAGAGATTCACTAATAAAGCTTATAATTGTATATGTTATCAAAAAGGCATAGATAAAGTCGTTCTTACGTTTTAGTCACAGAGATTAGATATTAGTAAAGTTCATTTTATTCAGGAAAGTACATAAATAGTCGATTTACAAACATAATATTGGATTTATAGATAGAGCTAGTACATACAATACCTAAAGCCACTAGTACGCATAGCGTTTCGGGCATATTATTGAGAGAGGAAAGATATTTATATTTAAACAATTTTTTTTTTTTTACCGACGCTCTCCCTATTGATGAGAACTACAACCTAATGAAGATAAATGTTAATTTTATGTAGATACTGTAATAAACGAAAGTTTTTAATGTCATCAGAGAAGCAGAAATATAGGCAAATTTTAAATCCCTTGTCATAAATATAACTGAAGTGAAAGCAAAGATATATGCATTTTGATAGTTACAAAGACAGCTCTTTAACATGGGTGGAACACGAACAAGGGGAACTTAGTACCCAAATGAGCCACAGAGATATTAGAAAGAATTTTTTCAGTGTCAGAGTAGTTAACAAATGGAATGTATTAAGCAGTGATGTGGTGGAGGCTGACTCCATACACAGTTTCAAGTGTAGATATGATAGAGCCCAATAGGCTCAGGAACCTGTACACCTGTTGATTGACGGTTGAGAGTCGGGACCAAAGAACCAAAGCTCAACCCCTGCAAGCACAAATTAGGTGAGTACAACTAGGTGAATACAGCTGAGGGGCGGGACCAAACAGCTGAAGCTCAATTCCCTACGCATAACTAGGCGAGTCCATAGGAATTACCGTTTGTCCTGGCGCCATCTATGTTTTGACAGCAGTACTACTAATGTTCCCACGTTATGTGATGATCGCTATACGGGTGTTACAGTCAGTTGCTCTTCTATATATGTTTATGGACAACGTAGGTGATTTGAGGCAATTTGCGGCCAGGATGAAATAGTATCCACGCGGTGAGTGATGGAGGAGGATATATACTGCTGTGTACTCGACCAGCGGGCGAGAGGTAAGTTATATCGAACAATTATGGGGAATAGATGGGTTATTTTAAGCGTAGATTGTCAGGTAACCGGTAACTACACAGATGGGGTAGTGTTTTTTTAAGTCTTTATTTACTAAAGTGGAACATTACATTATGCCTTTAGCTGAACAAGTCTACTGGTGGGGGAAGTAGACGGGTTTTATGAAAGTATTTTACCTAAATATTTGTATTTGGTTAACTAGTTCAGCCGTTACCAGGGAGGGTGTTCCTTTAATCTAATCTAAAAATTCTAGCCGGACAAAGTGATTAAAGAAATTGAATAGAACGAAGTGGTTTGCCAGGGTGCTTAACATTTAGTTTAGTTTACTTACTATGCAGCCCATGCTTAAAGAATGCAAGTTTATCATATTGAATTTACCGTAGTTTTACTGCATTTAATATACCGTTTTTACCCTATTTAATTACATCGGGTAAAGGCCGGTTGTGGAAAGTTCCTAATATAGCAAGTTTTAAAGGAAAAGTTTGAGTTAACTTTAACGCTTAAGTTAGTGACCAATTAGCTTAGTCTATTGTGAGGAAAGTTACTAGAATCTAACATTGCAAGTGCCATTTCTCTACTCTTTTTGAGAAACATGACTAGATACATGAATCGCATAGTTTTATTACTAAATGTTCATGGATTAGGTTGCATAGTTGAGGAAATGGTGATAAGGTTTGTGATTTTGTGTATCTTGACTTCAGCAGAGATTTTGATAGTGGCGCAAAATTGATAGGGGGCTCGGATCATTGGGAATGCTGGCTGAAGTTGATTAGGTCATGGCTATACCAAAGGAAATTAGTATAAATGGGGTTAAGTTGGGAGAAGTGTTGTAAGTAGTGCCTAAAAGCTCTCCTTGGACCTCGGTTATTCGCAAGATTATGGTTTAGACTGCAATAGTTGCAGAATTGGCAAATAAAAAATACCGATGCCCTATATAGTTTTGAAATGGTTAAGACTACCAGATGCAATTTAATGCTGACAAATGTAAGGTTTGGGGGCTAGGTAAAGATGAGAGATGTAGTAGATTAAGAGTATTAAATTTTTTGCAGGTGGTAAATTGTCCCCGAGCTGGCACTGCTCTCCAGCCTGGGATGTTGATTGGTTAGTCTTCAACTGCCTCCCAACATGGTAGTGAGGGCCTGAGCTGACATGCAGTAAGGAACGTGAAAAGCTTCCTGAATTGGCACATGGTATGCCTTTCAAACCAGCAGCTGGCACAAATGTTCCAGCTAACATCAGAATAGTGGATGAAGCCCATACTAAAATGTAAGTGGTACAGTAAATGGACACCCCCCCTCCCTTTTGACACTGAACAGTTGGGAGGAAGGGGGGGGGGGAGAAAGTGTGGCTTATAGTTCTATTGCTACAGAATCTTTTGCCATAAGCCAGTGCCTATTGGCACTTGCTATTCAGAATCTCCCCCTTACATAGTTAATTAAAAACGAAATGCTGTAGCAGTTTGCTAGAAATTGAAATTGGCATACTTGCTCAGCAACTACTTGCCCTCTTGTACCATGTTACTCAACCATAACATAACCACCACACCACCCATTCTTCTAAAATAACATCCCATATGATAAAAACTTCTTCTGCTTTTAATAAATATTTCAAACTTTAATATTAGTTGGCTTGCATGGTGTGTTCAATTTGAGATCTAGGCTCATGGGTCATTGTTCTAGGCTTCTGTATCTTCCAAGATACCCTCTGCTACTGTTCTAGGCTTCTGTTTCTTCCAAGATACCCTCTGCTACTGTTCTAGGCATCTGTATCTTCCAAGATACCCTCTGCTACTGTTCTAGGCATCTGTATCTTCCAAGATACCCTCTGCTACTGTTCTAGGCATCTGTATCTTCCAAGATACCCTCTGCTACTGTCTGCCATACTCAAATAAGCAACAGTACAAAGCAGAGGTGGTTGGAAAACAGTAGAATATTACAGTGAAGGTTGGCCAGGTCAGGGAGGTGAAGGTTGGCCAGGTCAGGGAGGTGAAGGTTAACCAGGTCAGGGAGGTGAAGGTTGGCCAGGTCAGGGAGGTGAAGGTTGGTGGGATGATTACAATTTGAAGATGTGTTTCTTGAAGATGTGTTCCTTTAATAAATGAAAAGGTTGCTCAATGTTTTACTAGAGGTGAGAAGGAAGAGGACAATGCATCTGATAATACCATACTAGATCATAAAGTATCAATTATTTTGTGTAAGCAACAGAAAGATGACAGGATTGATTTTGATTTAACACTAAAGATAGAGATATTGAAAATTTCTGTATACTTGGGGGGTAGTAGAGGTGACTTAATATTTAACAAAGTACAAAATAAATACTATTTAATAACATTAAGTTTATTAATTTTAATAAGTTCTTAACAAGTAACTGTTCAGTGTTAATAAGGTTGTGTTTGTGACCAGAACAAGTAGGTAGACATGTGTTAAAAATAATCTGCATGTAATTATTACATATGTTATGGTAGTGGGTTTTGAGGAGGACATACCACACACACTTGGCCCTTTCCTCTTCTTTTAATAGTTCAACAACATCTGTAACTGAAGTGAAATATACACACATTCTGTCTAACGTAATTTACAAAATTCTGTGTCATTTAATATTGATTACAGTAAAACAAATTTTGTATCTTAAGCACACAGGTTTTCCTTCCTAAATGTTTCCCAATATTAAGAAACACATTTACATTAATGAATTACAAAAAAAATAACACCCACATAAAATATGACCTATTAAGAATTCTACATTAATCAAACATCATAGCTTGCACCAGCCTGTGTCTCATCCAGGAAGAAATTTACAAATCCCTGAGCAGATTCTGGAGATAACCAAATTTGTGAAACAAGTAGAGCTTCAAGTATGCCTATTACAATACCACCAATAATGTCCAGCAGATGGTGACGCCGCATTAACACACGAGAGATGCACACAGCCCCACCCCATATCATCACAAGTATTGATAAAGGCAGGAACATGTCATACTGAAATGAAATGAAATTAATCAATAAATATAGATTTAAATACAATATAGCTTTTGTACCTAAATTAGTTTCTTAATGTTTTCTGAATTTTTGTAGATACAGTATTTGATTTAATTACATTTTCTGAGACTTGGTGACAAAGAATTAGAACTAATGTAAGTATGGATGTATCATCATCATAACTACTCCACTTCCTATTTTCATGGTGTAGGGATGCATCAGTACAAAGAATAAGAAAGGAAGCAGTATAGAAAAAAAACAGCATTGAATGTAATGAAATGCCAATTTCTGGGCCCAGTGGCTCCCTGAAGCTACAATGCCGAAATAGTGCCATCAGACACAGAGGTCTTTTAAGTGAGCCAGAACCTGGCCTCCCTCTAATGAGGTGCAGAGAGCTGTGGCACTATGATAAAATTATCAGTGAATTTTAATCATGTCTGCCATCACCGGAGCAGCACCCACAAAGTCAGCAAAATAAAACATACCACTGCTAGTTATGAAAAATATTGAAACCTCAAAATCATCAAAAGGACTTCCCCAAAATGTAAACAAAGTGTTGAAAATTCATGAAACTAGAACAAGCTCATTTACCCCACCTCCCACCATCATTTGAGGGGCAGGAGGGAGACAGACAGGGTCAGTCAGCTGCTCCACCCTCAGATCTATAATGATGAGAAAAGCCATCCCCGACTTCCTGGGGAAAGGGAGGGTGTCAGAGAGCCACCGGGGCTCACCCAGAAATTGGCATTTCATTACATTCAACACCGGTTTCCTAAGGTAAGCCCCTCATGACTCCCTGAAGCTACCAACTCACAGAGAAAGAAATTAAAGGTTCGTCCTTCCATAAGTTTCCAACTTCTCGCCTTTCCCTGGCGAAGGCTCGAGATACTCTCTGTCCTTATCTCCTGTGCGACTGGGATTTTGCCTCAGTGATGGATCTGGCCTCGTTTGAGTTCAGCTCTTCTTTCCCTTATTGGATGCATTGAGGTTCCGGAGACATTCTGGCTGGCAGACGTCTCCAGGAGGTCTTCTGAACCTCATGACGCATCCAGTAAGGAAAAGATGATGTGGCACAGAACTACTTTCTCATTTTCTGGCAAAAATGCCACACCTGCTCAAGAAAATATTGAGGAAATACTCGTATTACAGATGACAACTCACAAAACCATAAATTTGTAAGCTAAGCTGCTAATGTATAAAAAAATCAAATTACTGATGAAAATTAGCACTAAGAGTTCTCAATGGGCATTTTGTAGCCTATATTAAGTTACCTGCATTGGAAGCAGAATACTCAACATCACAGCTCTTGTAGCATGTCCAGATGGAAAGGAAAATTTATCTACTAAAATTTGGCCAAACATATCGTCTTTTTTGTTAGCTTCTGGGCGTCGTCGTCGAGTGATGCCTTTTGCAACTGCTATCACGATGATGTCAATTATAAGTGCTGTCGAGAAAGATACAGTGCTATATGCAGTACTCATTAAGAAAACATTACAAGAATTTATTAAAACATCAAATTATTTAAACACTAGCTGCAATAACCATTTGTATTTTATTGTACAGTATTCTGATAAATACGGATATTATTTGATAACCAAATCCACAAAGGTTTTTTACTGCAGTCACCCTATTGTTGCCCAACCACTTGGGCTGGACGGTAGAGCCACGGTCTCACTTCTTGCAGGTAGGCATTCAATTCCCGACCGTCGACGAGGTTGGACACCATTCCTTTTCTCCTCGTCTCATCCCAAATCCTTATCTTGATCTCTTCCAAGTGCTATATAAGCCTAATAGCTTGGTGCTTTCCCCTGATAATTCCCTCCCTCACCCTATCGTTGAATTCTATTTCATTTTATTTTCATTTTAAACAAATGAAATATCATAACACGTACCAATGAAAATGTTGACTAGGAGTTGCCGAAGAAACAAATCGGTAATGAAAAAGATGAGGGTGGCAGTCCCAACCAGCCAAGGTATACCATGACAGGAGAACTGAAAACAGTCCTAAGATTAGTGAACATTTCTTATGAAATAAAAAGGAGAATTTTTTCACAAGTCTGGTAGAGCCTTATGTAACAAAATAAATATTTTGGCTTTATATAACAGAAGCCATGCCTGGGCAAGGTAATTAGGGTTCAGATGTTTATGTGCAGTGATATCAGAGGCCCAGCCAATAGAATTCTGGGGGACTTAAGAAGGGTTATCTTGAGATGATTTTGGGGCTTAGTGTTCCCGCGGCCTGGTCCTCAACCAAGCCTCCCCTTTTGTTATACATCCTCAGGAAGCAGCCCGTAGCAGCTGTCTAACTCCCAGGGTACCTATTCACTGCTAGATGAACAGGACATCAGGGTTACCTTGAGGGTGAAAGAAAATCTGCCCATTTGTTTCTGCCTTCGCCGGGGATCGAACCCGGAGCCTTAGGACTACGAATCCCGTGTGCTGTCCATTCAGGATGGCCAAAACCATCTTTCCTCTTAAATTAGTCTTTTCCTCTCAAATTAGTCTTAATGTTCCTAATTTATGTGTACCTGGATAGTACCTGAATGGGGTTCTGGGAGTTGTTCTACTCCCCCAAGCCCAACCCAGGGCCAGACTTGACTTGAAAGAGTCCAACAGGCTGTTGCTTGGAGCGGCCTGCAGGCCCACATATCCACAGCCCAGTTGGAACTACATATCCAGGTTTCTCTTGAAGACTGTGTACAGTATTTAGAATGTGTATTTAATGGTAAGTGGCCTATGGCACAGTAAACTATGTTAAATTACTTCTTGTAGCCATGTTGAGAATAACCAAGGGTAGTTAACAGGGATGACCATAACATTAGGGAAGTTGGAGAGATATAAATACTTATCATCAGCTTATAACCAAGTTTAATATAGTTATTGTTAGCATCACCATCATCTTTAGTCCCTTAATATTGCTTTAACTTGTTCTAAATAAACTATATTTAGAACAGTCCCAGTTTACCGATTATCCCAGAAAACGAGAACTGTAGTGTTAACTCTGATGATTCAAGCATTCACAAAGTATTTGTTCAGCCAGCAATGCAATGTGTTAACAAGAAATTATAATTTGCACAGCAGCCCCTATGAATACAAGGAAAGTGCAGTTATAAGTAGCCTGAATAAATGAATTTTCATTTCCTCAGAGTACTTATAATTGTTACAGATTAATTGTACATTATATACTTTACAGAAGCAACTTGCAAAAAGAACACAGGAGTATTAATTATAACTTTATATGGTTATTACACTATAATTCAAGTTTTAAATAGTAAACAGTTTACCTCCAGTCCCTTCATATGACCTTTATACTTGACAAGTGGCCCATACTTCTGGTCCACAAACTTGACAAACTTCTCGGATGCAATAGAGTCCCATTCTAACACGCTCTTCAGCAGTTGGGGCACCTTCCTCTTCTCTCCCATTCTGGCACGTCTGAAAAACTCGATATCTGACCCAATGCTTGGTGATAACTCATTTTATGGGTGGGGGGGGGGGGGGGTGGCAGGACACATTTAAATTTTGTATCTTGGTGACCTTAAACTTAGTAATAATAATAATAATAATAATAAATTTTTATTCAAGTAAGGTACATACAAGAGATTTTACATAAATTGATAGATTTATAGATAGAGCTAGTACATACAATGCCTAAAGCCACTATTACGCAAAGCGTTTCGGGCAGGAGAAACATTAATGAGGAGAAACTTAATACTAATTGAGTATAAAGAATAAAGTGACCTTAAGCTCGGTGACGTTAGGCTTCATTGGGTTGGGGGTGTTTAAAATGTGGTGGTAAACAGCTTTATGTATCAAAGTGACCTGTGTCCACCAGTTCACCCGAACACATCACTAACCAAAGATTAAAGGAATAACGATCCCATAGCAAGGGATCAAACTACCATTCTGACAGGTTTATCACCGACTCTGTGACTCAACAGGCTGTGACAGCACATACCTTGATCAACCAGTACTGACAAGGATGCAATTTAGCCAAGAAGCAGCTGGAGAAAAATATATATAATGTGGACGATGGTGTCCCGGCAGTGTTGACGCGGCTCAGCTGATCTCAGGGATGCCAGATCTAAATGGCTGAAAGTAGCAGCTGACGGGCTAAAGTAGCGGATTTGTAATAAGAGTAGCCCAATTTTTTTCAGTGAATGATATGGGTTTCAAAGTAATATATTTTGATACCCTCCGTCACTATGTGATGGAGTGCGAAAAGATACGTGAATTTAGAGACAATTCTATAACCAATGTTCCAGTGATGTGTAAATATTTCATTCAAAATGATCTGCTACCAGAAATTTTAGCCAAATATCCCCAGTTTGCTAACTAGGTAGTAACTAAGTGATTGTAACCTATCCACCGCTGCCCACTGGATGGGGGGCGGTGTGCAGGACAAACATATAAATTGTGACATTAGGTCTTCACATATGTCAGTTGCTTAATTTAGAACCTGTAATTGAGGTCGATCTCGAACCCATTGTTGATGTGACGACTTATATTGAATTTTGTAACTAGCTCATCAAGATTGTAACTTGCTTAGCTAAATGAATTGTGGGGTTCAGTCCCTGAGCCCATTATGTGCCTCTGTAACCCTTTCCACTACCGCCCACAAGATGGGTATGGGGTGCATAATAAATGAACTAAACTAACTAACTTTTATATATATATATATATATATATATATATATATATATATATATATATATATATATATATATATATATATATGCAATTGACGATCACAAAACACTGATCATTTTATGCGGAAAATCCACAGAGAAATATGATAAGAAATATCATATTTCTCTGTGGATTTTCCGCATATATATATATATATATATATATATATATATATATATATATATATATATATATATATATATATATATATATATATATATATATATATATATATATATATATATATATATATATATATTTATATATTTATATATAGCACTTTGGGGCGTCCATCATAACATACTGCGTACTGTCATCCTAAATTTGTGTTCAATGATAATAATAATAATAATAATAATAATAATAATAATAATAATAATAATAATAATTTATTTAAAAAAAAGATACAATGGGTTGGTGAGGTTACATTAAGAGTTATATTTTTACATTCTTGCAAGGCCATATGCATAGCGTTTCGGGCAGGTCCTTAATCTAACATATCAGGTAAGGTGAAAAAGTACATTGTAGCAAGGTTTTATATCAACAATATCAATTGACAGAGGTGATTACACTGGTAAAGATGAACTTAATTAGTTTTAAGTACTAATATTGGGGAAGTGGGTAGTACAAGATACAGTGTGAGTTTGAAGCACAAGGTAGGAAACTATGAGGAGGAAATTAGGCACTTTTTGGTTTTACTTTTGAACATGACATAGGTTGGAACAATTTTTTAATTCATCAGGGAGTGAGTTCCAAAGACTGGGGCCTTTTATTTGCATAGAGAATTTACGCAGATTTAGCCTAACTGGGGATATCATAGAGATATCTATTTCTGGTGTGGTGCTCATGGGTACTATTACACCTATTAAGGAAAAGTTTCAGTTCAAGATTAGCATTTAGGAATAAGGTTTTGTACATGTAGACAGCACGTGAGAACGTGTGGAGTGAGTGTATGTTCAGCATGTTAAGGGACTTCAATAGAGAGGCTGTGTGTTGTCTGAAGACAGTTTGTTACAGTTCTGATAGCAGATTTTTGCTGAGTGATGATAGGCTTCAGTTACTTTGCAGTGGTTGAGCACCATGCACAGATACCGTATGCTAGATAGGGATAGATTAGTTCGTAGTATGACGAGAGAAGAGCAGAGTGGGGAACATAATATATGATTTTAGAAAGTATTCCGACCGTTTTTTACTTTTTTTTTGTGATGCGTTCTAAATGAGTTCTGAAGTTGAGTCCTTGTCTGTCTTGAGGCCAAGGAACTTTCCCTCATTTTTATTGCTTATGTTAACATTGTTTATCTGAAGTCGAATCTGATTTGATGATTTACTTCTAAATAAAATGTAGTAAGTTTTTTTCTATGTTCAGTGTAAGTTTGTTGGTTGACATCCATGAGTGGACATTTTTAAAATTCATTGTTGACAATATTATTTAGTGTGTGCGGGTTGGGGACAGAATAGATGACTAGTATCGTCAGAAAATAATATAGGTTTAAGAATGTTAAAAACGTTTGGCAAATCATTGATGTATATAAGAAATAGGAGAGGTCCTAAGATGCTGCCCTGTGGCACCCCTACTGTCAGTGGTAGAGTGGTGGAGGCTATGCTATTGATGGCATATTGGTGTCTGTCACTGAGATAGGAACGAATATAGTCCAGAGCAAGGCCTCGGATACCATAGTGGTGAAGTTTAAGTAAGAGGTAGTTATTGAAATTGAAATAAGTTTATTGAGGTAAAATACACACAAAGGGATGAGGTAGCTCAAGCTATTCTCACCCCGTTCAGTACATTGTGTTAATACATACATATAAACACATCACAAGCAATAACTTGGTATACTCTCCAAAATAAGATATTATGTTCCTAACTCTGCTCTCCTCTCACTATATTATGCACTAATCTATCCCTATCTTAATTATGGTATCTGTGCATGGGGGTCTACCACTGCAAACCACCTTAAGCCCATCATCACCCAGCAAAAATCTGCTATCAGAATAATAACAAACTGCTTTCAGACAACACTCAGCTCCCTTGTTTAAATCCGTTAACTTGCTAAATATTAACTCCCTCCACACATTCTCTTGTGTCAACTACATTTACAAAACCCTGTTCTTAAATGCAAACCATGCTCTGAAACTCTCCCTGGACAGATGTAATAGGACCCATTATCACCACACCAGAAATAAATATCTCTTTGATATCCCCAAAGTCAAACTTAATCTGTGTAATTTGCAAACTCTATGCAAATTAAGGGACCTAGTCTATGGAACTCACTCCCTAGTGAATTGAAAAGCTGTCAAACTTTTGCCTCATTTAAAAACAAAACCAAAAAGTACCTAATTTCATCTTCGTAGTTTCCTACACTGAGCTTTAAATTTGCTCTGTATCTAGTGTTACCCAATCTCCCAATCTTTATGTACTTAACCCAAACAACTTTATCATTGTGTTCATTGCTGTCTTCTTTTATGTGCTAGCCATATGCTGTATTGTGCGTACTAATTTTTGTTAAACTACCATTCAAGCTGTCATTGCAATCAATCTGAGCTACCTATGTGCTTTAATACGCCTACAATTTTTCTCTCATCTTTTATATTTTGTCTTGCTATGTAACTGTTATAATTTTTATAAATTTTGCAAGTATTTACCAACTTAAAATTTTTTTAGATTAAGGACCTGCCCGAAACGCTATGCGTACGCTAGGCTATGCAATGCGAAACGCTAGGCTTTATGTACTGTATGTAATACCTCTATCTTTAAATCTAACAGAATGTTTGTACTGTAACGCTGCAACTATGTATGTATTGTTTCTAAATAAATTATTATTATTATGTACCCCTCACAATCCCAATGTACGTTCTTGTGTATAAATATATAAATAAATAAATCAACGTATCACCGACCATTCTCAGAGATAAACATATACATTTCCTCCTTTACACGAGGTAGTTATGATCTACAGTATCAAAGGTCTTTCTCAGGTTAATGTAGAGGTCACTTGGGAACTCGTTTTTGTCAAGGGCTGTTTAGATTATATTAAACAGACTAATAATAACACTATTGGTACTCTAGGGAACGGAAGCCAAGCTAGCAGGGACATAATATGCTGATTTATACTAAGTAGGGGAAGAGCTGTTCGTACATGATGACATGTATAACTCTCACACAGGTGTCTCCGAAGCACACACCAGCACGCCCACACCTGCACACCCCCCCCCCCACCTGCACACTCCCCCCCCCCCCACACACACAATCGTGACTAGCTGCAGTCATGTCGGGAATCACCACAGCGTGACAAGACGTGATGACTGCTTGTCACACATCATGGTGTGACGAACGGAGGGGCGGGGAGCATTTCGCCTCCCCCCTCCCACGCTAGGGGGGGGGAGGGGGGTTTGAAGCAGTACAGGACTCAACCACAGTCCCACCAGAGGAGAGGCACAGTAGTGAACCACAGACCAGCCAGGAGAGACACAACAGTGAACCAGATACCAGCCAGGAGAGAGACCCAACAGTGAACCACAGACCAGCCAGGAGAGAGACCCAACAGTGAACCACAGACCAGCCAGGAGAGACACAACAGTGAACCAGAGACCAGCCAGGAGAGAGACCCAACAGTGAACCACAGACCAGCCAGGAGAGAGACCCAACAGTGAACCACAGACCAGCCAGGAGAGAGACACAACAGTGAACCACAGACCAGCCAGGAGAGAGACAACAGTGAACCACAGACCAGCCAGGAGAGAGACAACAGTGAACCACAGACCAGCCAGGAGAGACACAACAGTGAACCACAGACCAGCCAGGGGAGAAACACAACAGTGAACCACAGACCAGCCAGGAGAGAGACACAACAGTGAACCACAGACCAGCCAGGGGAGAAACACAACAGTGAACCACAGACCAGCCAGGGGAGAAACACAACAGTGAACCACAGACCAGCCAGGGGAGAAACACAACAGTGAACCACAGACCAGCCAGGAGAGAGACCCAACAGTGAACCACAGACCAGCCAGGAGAGAGACCCAACAGTGAACCACAGACCAGCCAGGAGAGACACAACAGTGAACCAGAGACCAGCCAGGAGAGAGACCCAACAGTGAACCACAGACCAGCCAGGAGAGAGACCCAACAGTGAACCACAGACCAGCCAGGAGAGAGACACAACAGTGAACCACAGACCAGCCAGGAGAGAGACAACAGTGAACCACAGACCAGCCAGGAGAGAGACAACAGTGAACCACAGACCAGCCAGGAGAGAGACAACAGTGAACCACAGACCAGCCAGGAGAGACACAACAGTGAACCACAGACCAGCCAGGGGAGAAACACAACAGTGAACCACAGACCAGCCAGGAGAGAGACACAACAGTGAACCACAGACCAGCCAGGAGAGAGAGACAACAGTGAACCACAGACCAGCCAGGGGAAGGGGGATGCAGAGAGCTATTCATAAAACAGTGACAACGGCAACCTTTGTTGTCATTTGTTTCAGCTTGATCACGTTAGTACCTCGGGTGGTGGGTGACAGGTGGTGGGTGACAGGTGGTGGGTGACAGGTACTCACCTAGATGTGCCTGCAGGGTCGAGCTAGGCTACTAGCTCCACCTTCCGAACATTCTTAGATTAATTTAATGACTCATTTCTCACTCTTTTATCCCATTTAAATGTACAATTATAAATCGAGTTATCAGCAACAATTTATACGTCTAACCTGTTCCAATTTTTGACGGATCTAATACTAAAAAAAAAATTCTTCGTTTCTGGCTCATTTGCGTCTCTAGTTTCCATTTATGATCCCTTGTTTCGATCTTCATAGCTTTGAACAACGCTGCTTCGTCTACCTTGTCAATTCCCCTTGGAATCTTATATGTTGTTATCATGTCCCCCCTTATCTCTCCTTTCCTGTAGTGTGGTAAGGTCCAGTTTTCTCAGTCTTTCCTCATAGCTCAATCCCTTAAGCTCAGGAACGGGTCTCATTGCCTATCTTTGGACCTTTTCTACTTTCTCCTTATTCTTTTTCAGGTAAAAGTTCCATCCTGGGGATGCATACTGAAATGTGGGTCTCACCTTCGTTGTATATAAGACCCGAAAAGCCCCCTTTGTCCACACGGGAGACATCTCCCGTCACGCAGGGTGCAGTCGCACCTCCACAGATCTCCAGTATCGTCTATTGATACTGGTAATGGCTCAAAAGGGCCACCACTTACGGGCTATTCATGCCCGTGCCACCTTCTGAGTGGCTTAATCTTCATCAATCAATGAATCCCTTTGTCCAACTTTCCGAATGGATCATGACCGTTGGACAATATGCCACACGCAGCCTTGTTGTTGTTAAAGATTTAGCTACTCAGGCCGAAGTGTCCATGTAGCACGGGCTATGGTGAGCCCGTTTACACGCAGCCGTTGCTGTTCTCCTAGTGTGGACTTCTTGCAGTTATGTCCATATGTTGCGGGCGAGGAGTCGCAATAACGTGGCTGAAGTATGTTGACCAGACCACACATTAGAAGGTGAAGGGACGACGACGTTTCGGTCCGTCCTGGACCATTCTCAAGTCGATTGTGATCATAATCGACTTGAGAATGGTCCAGGATGGACCGAAACGTCGTCGTCTCTTCACCTTCTAGTGTGTAGTCTGGTCAACAAATGTCCACATGTTAGTTATATGTTAGTTGATACCTGGTTGATGGGGTTCTGGGAGTTCTTCTATTCCCCAAGCCCGGCCCGAGGCCAGGCTTGACTTGTGAGAGTTTGGTCCACCAGGCTGTTGCTTGGAGCAGCCCGCAGGCCCACATACCCACCACAGCCCGGTTGGTCCGGCACTCCTTGAAGGAAACAATCTAGTTTCCTCTTGAAGATGTCCACGGTTGTTCCTGTAATATTTCTGATGCTCGCTGGGGTTTGGGGTTATGTCTACTGCCAGGTCTTTCACCTTTACTGATTGCAGAATCTGTCTTCCCTTCATCCTGCACTGCTCTACCGCCCTTCACTCTCCTATGCTAATCCTAATAATTGCTTGGGAACGCCCAGTGTGTGTAGGTTGGACTCCTGCTCCTCATGGCTTCTACTGTTTATGTAATCATATGCGTAAAAGATCACACCTCGAACACAGTATATGTAGGACAGACGTAAACCTATGTACTTACATATGTAGCTTACATTAGCAGTGTAAAAGCTCTACAATCACCTTCTGTGGTTGATTGTTCAATCAATCCTTGAACTATATGTGCAACTGTCCTCTAACCCTATCCGTGGAGGACATAAGGCTATATTTACTCGTTAGTTAGCATTGAAGATGTATGGCCACGTTGACCAGACCACACACTATAAGTTGAAGGGACGACGACGTTTCGGTCCGTCCTGGACCATTCTCAAGTCGATGTTAGTTTGACTAACGACTTGAGAATGGTCCAGGACGGACCGAAACGTCGTTGTCCCTTCACCTTCTAGTGTGTGGTCTGGTCAACATACTTCAGCCACGTTATTGCGACTCATCGCCTGCATATGCATGGCCACGTTTGTGATAGATAAATTAAAATGACAAAAACAACTATTGACGAAGGTGTTTCTGGCAGGTTGTTCCGGAGACAAGCCGCCGTCACCCCCACGGTCGCCGCCTCCCACGGTAAGCTGCTCCAACCGTTCCTCACCCCCCCCCATCCCGGGGTATACTTCACAATTACCACAAGGCTATAATAACGCACCATGGTTCTTTACCCACGGTGGGTCCTCACGACTCAGTGTGGGTGGGTGAGTGAGTGATCACACGGCGTTACTCTCCCTCACCTGCTGGGGTCCTCCACCTCACTCCATGTACGGTTTTCACAATACATTTATTGACACACAAGCTGAGAACAATAACGGGCTCACCATAGCCCGTGCTACTTGGACACTTCGTTCTCAGTAGCTAAATCTGAAACAACACCAATGAGAATAGTAGTTGTTTTTTCACCGCTCCTGTGGCAGGTAAGTCTAGTACGGGCTCACCATAGCCCGTGCTACTTGCCCCGCTCCTGTGCCAGGTAAGTCTAGTACGGGCTCACCATAGCCCGTGCTACTTGCCCCGCTCCTGTGCCAGGTAAGTCCACTACGGGCTCACCATAGCCCGTGCTACTTGCACCGCTCCTGTGCCAGGTAAGTCCACTACGGGCTCACCATAGCCCGTGCTACTTGCCCCGCTCCTGTGCCAGGTAAGTCCACTACGGGCTCACCATAGCCCGTGCTACTTGCCCCGCTCCTGTGCCAGGTAAGTCCACTACGGGCTCACCATAGCCCGTGCTACTTGCCCCGCTCCTGTGCCAGGTAAGTCCACTACGGGCTCACCATAGCCCGTGCTACTTGGAACTTGTTCCGAGTAGCTGAATCTATAACAACAACAACAATAACTGAGAACAGTTTACCGAGGTGATGACAATGTTGCTGGGTTTACATCAGTTTACCAAGGTCCAGCGAGAAGTTGATTTATTTTGATTAAAACACCTATTCAATATCTATTTATATACAAGGCGGTACATTGGGTTTATGAGAGTACATAGCACTGATGTTGCTACTTTCTTGTGAAGCTACTAACATGCGTAGCATTTTGGGCACGTCCTTAATCTCCAGTCCAGCTGTGTGTGTGTGTGTATATATATATATATATATATATATATATATATATATATATATATATATATAGATAGATAGATAGATAGATAGATAGATATATATATATATATATATATATATATATATATATATATATATATATATATATATATATATGTATGTACCTTTGCCTAAATAAAAATTATTATTATTATTATTATTATATATATATATATATATATATATATATATATATATATATATACACATGGCGTGACGGTGATGCTCCGATACTAACTTTGGAACTCCTTTAGAGTATATTTAAATTTAGAGAGCTTTATATAATATATAATCTCTCTTCAATAGCCTTACTAGATGATCTTCCTTCTCTTCCCATGTGTTGAACGTCAATCTATTGCTTCTTAGAATGTTAAGTTAATCATGTAATCACTCTCGAGTCGCTAGTAACAATTGTAAATGATAGTAAGTAGTTTACCAGGTGTATATTGACAGTGTGTGTTGTTGGGGGGGTGTTGACAGGCACGGCAGGAGTTGATTGGGCGGCGACAGCTGTAAACAACTGTGAGGTGGAACCACTACAAGATATCAAGCAATTCTTCGGATATTTCAAGCAGCCGCTCTACTCCTGCAAGGATATGGTAAGGCGGCTCTACCCCTGCAAGGATATGGTAAGGCGGCTCTACCCCTGCAAGGATATGGTAAGGCGGCTCTACCCCTGCAAGGATATGGTAAGGCGGCTCTACCCCTGCAAGGATATGGTAAGGCGGCTCTACCCCTGCAAGGATATGGTAAGGCACCTCTACCCCTGCAAGGATATGGTAAGGCAGCTCTACCCTTGCAAGGATATGGTAAGGCAGCTCTACCCCTGCAAGGATATGGTAAGGCAGCTCTACTCCTGCAAGGATATGGTAAGGCGGCTCTACCCCTGCAAGGATATGGTAAGGCGGCTCTACCGCTGCAAGGATATGGTAAGGCACCTCTACCCCTGCAAGGATATGGTAAGACAGCTCTACCCCTGCAAGGATATGGTAAGACAGCTCTACCCCTGCAAGGATATGGTAAGGCGGCTCTACCCCTGCAAGGATATGGTAAGGCACCTCTACCCCTGCAAGGATATGGTAAGGCAGCTCTACCCCTGCAAGGATATGGTAAGGCGGCTCTACCGCTGCAAGGAGTAGAATTTAATTCAAGTAAATTTATTGAGAACACGAAGTACATTTCAAAAGGATAGGGATAGCTTAGGCTACTTCTCCCCTCGTCTATATAAAGTCCCTCAAGGGGCTCACAAACCCATGCAGTAAACAAGTATTAATCATATAAAGATAGAGTAAGGCAGCTCTACCCGCCGCAAGTGCCTATACAAATGCCAGAATAGGCCGACAGGATCCATACTTCATGTTACAGAGACAGTTCGGCGGAGCAGATCAGTGGAAGGAAGGCGTCAGGTTCATAGACGGGGACAAGTGGGCGTGTATGGACCCTCCTCTGGCCCCGCCGCCCACCCGCTGCCTCGTCTACTCCTTCGGCATCAAAAATGAGTGGTCCTTCGACGACGCCATGGCCGCCTACGGGTGCCAGGTGGGTGTGTAGGTGCTGAGTGCCAAGTGGGAGTGTAGGTGCCCGCTCATTGTTTGCAATCTTGCAACTCCAGCCACTCGTGTCTCTCTCTGAATACCCTTCAAACCCGTGTCACCACATTAGGCGGGAACTTGTTCTCTCCCAGCTACAGTCGGTGCCATCTTGTTTAGCTTCTTCCTTACAGTCAAATCCTTAGAACCAAATTTACACTAAAATTGTGCCTCTTGCATTGACCTTCCTAACTTAAAACACTCTTTGGGCCGTCTAGTGTTATGGTGGGAATGACTCGATGTCGGAAAGGACTGAATTTAGACGCCAATCATAACCTAACCCAACAGAAGTTGATAGGCCTTAATACCCCCTCCAGAAGTTGATAAGCCTTAATTAATATCCCTCCAGAAGCTGATAAGCCTAATAGCACTCTAGTGGTTGGTAGGCCTTAAGCCCAACACCAGAACAAACTGGAATGATACCTTGAGGTGCTTCCGGGGCTTAGCGTCCCCGCGGCCCGGTCGTCGACCAGACCTCAACCATGATATCCATGAACTATATCGTTGCTAGGCTTTCCTTGGAAACCGTAACAGGTAACGATGTTAATATTTATATCATGCCGTCTTCAGAATCCTGTCTTCATGTGTGCTTATGCTACAAGATCTGATCCTCCTGCAGGTGTTCTCGTTCGACCCCACCATGGCTGTTGGGGACCACCAACGCTCCTCCGGCGTCACCTTCTTCAGGCTGGGTGTTGGCGGAGCCCCTGGCATGACCCGCCTGGGCCAGGTACATACATCTTAATACAATGCCTGTTGTACATGTTACTTACGAGTTGGGCTTCTCCTATCCCCCCCTCGTCCTTATATACTTTATCAGGATTAAAATGCCCAATGGTGTTAGCCCACACAACTACCTCTTCGAGCTTAATCCGACCATCTGCAAGGTGTTGTAGATGATTAGAAGCCGGCGCCGGACTGGCCGGACGCCCCCGCCAGGTGGCCTGTGTGTTTACATTACCAGCTCCCACTTCCCCCGCCAGGTGGCCTGTGTGTTTACATTACCAGCTCCCACTTCCCCCGCCAGGTGGCCTGTGTGTTTACATTACCAGTTCCCACTTCCCCCGCCAGGTGGCCTGTGTGTTTACATTACCAGTTCCCACTTCCCCCGCCAGGTGGCCTGTGTGTTTACATTACTAGTTCCCACTTCCCCCGCCAGGTGGCCTGTGTGTTTACATTACCAGTTCCCACTTCCCCCGCCAGGTGGCCTGTGTGTTTACATTACCAGTTCCCACTTCTCCCGCCAGGTGGACTGTGTGTTTACATTACCAGTTAACACTTCCCCCGCCAGGTGGCCTGTATTTACATTACCAGTTCCCACTTCCCCTGCCAGGTGGACCGTCTGGGAGGGATCATGAAGAAGCTGGGACACGTCGGGCGGAAGATCGACTACCTGAAGATGGACATCGAAGGGATGGAGGTAGAGACGCTGGAGGAGGTGCTGGAACACCAGCCGGAGATCTTGGCCTCCGTCACCCACCTGGGCCTCGAGATACATCCTGGCCGCTACAAGGGTGAGTCTCTGAGGATTACTTTCCATGCACACTTTGACAACTAAATATACAAGGGGAATTAATGAAATGGTAGATATCCAGTAACATTAAAGATCCCGGTAGTACAATCGGGTTCATTCTCGACTCACAGCCGGCAATTCTGGGTTCGAATCTTGGGCAAATGGTTACATTTTCTATCACTTAATGCCCCTGTACACCTAGCATTATTATGATATCATATTTCGGGCAGGTGAGGACGTGCGACGGTCGTCCAGCAAATACTGGAGGCTGTGGAGGATGTTCCAGCGCCTGGAGTGTCTGGGGTTCAGTCTTCTCCACTGGAACATTAACCCGGCCTCCTTCAACCACTACTGGTGGAACGATTCCCTCCAGGCCACATGCTACGAGCTCGTCTGGGTCAGGTCACCTGCTCACTAGACGGGTCAGGTCACCTGCTCACTAGACGGGTCAGGTCACCTGCTCGTTGGAAGGATAAGGTCAACTGGTCACTAGAAAGGAAGTGTTAGGGGGTGTTGCAGGAGAGTTGAGATGGAAGCAGGAAGGACATTGAGAGTGAACGTGGTACCTGGTTGATGATGGGGTTCTGGGAGTTCTTCTACTCCCCAAGCCCGGCCCGGGGCCAGACTTGAGCCAGACAGACTTGAGTCTATTTAATCTACTACCTACTGTAGTAGATGAAATAGACTGATTAACAACAGTTTGTTCTTCTGGAGGAGATACGAGTGTTCTCCAGTGTTATATGTTATGTTCTTCCTGGTTGTGGTGGAACGCTTCATACATATCTTGAGGTTATCTTGAGATGATTTCGGGGCTTAGCGTCCCCGTGGCCCGGTCCTCGACCAGGCCTCCTTTTTGTTACACACCCCCAGGAAGCAGCCCGTAGCAGCTATCTAACTCCCGGGTACCTATTTACTGCTAGCTGGTAACAGGGGGGGCATCACGGTGAAAGAAACTTTTTGCCCATTTGTCTCCGCCTCCACCGGGGATTGAACCCGGGACCTCAGGACTACGAATCCGAAGCGCTGTCCACCCAGCTGTCAGGCACCTTGGGTGAAAAGCAAGACATATTAAACTGTCGGCATACATAATGACTGTTGACAGTCAACATAATGACTGTTGGCAGGTTATTGTCTGCGAGGGTAGCTACGCCTCCTGATCCGTCCCCTTTCCCCTCAGAACGTGGCAACACAGGCCGAGGAGTCTATGAGAGAGGGAAAGATGGAGGCTGGTGAGGGGAGGAGGTTTCAGATGTCATATAAGTCTATAGTGCTACAGGGGTTAAGCCTCGGGGGACTTCTACCTTGGCAACATGGAAGGCAAGCCTCGGTAATTGGTTTATAATCCTACATCCAAGCCTTCGATTAGCCGGTTTTGGAGGGGTTGATTGGGAGGAGTCGTGGTTTTATCCTACCCAGATCCTGCCCTGGTCGTGCCCTGGGCAGAATAATGAGCTCAGAGATGGGAAAAACAGATTTGGGGGAAGGGAAAGTTCAGGGGGAGACACGGTCAGGAATGAAGACAGAATTCTCCTCTGTTCTTGGATATTACGATAAAGCAAATTAACCTCTTTCTTGTTTACATGTTATTGACATTAAATTCATTGCAAAGGTAGAAGCAATCCTCTCTGAGTCTCCTCAGTATATGCTGGCTAGTCAGACCAGTTAACCTCTTCTTGGTTCATTGCCTGGTTTAATTGATCGTCGAATCATCCTCCCCAATGTTTAAGCTATTATTCAAGAATATTTGAAGATGTGAACTCACGCACGGATGTTCAAGGAAGAGGCGAATGACCGTGTCTGCCTCCGACGTGAGAGGAACGATGGGTGAAGTGTTACCGGAAACTCAAGTCCGGTAACCCTGCCATCTTAAGGTTGTCTCCCTGCCCCGCCAAGTGGCTAATACTAAGAACTAATCCACGTGTTAAATAAAGAGCTTCTATTCCTTCCACGGTGGCATATGAGGGTGGGAGCGGAGTCACAGAATAGGTGTGTGTGTGTGTGTGTGTGTGTGTGTGTGTGTGTGTGTGTGTGTGTGTGTGTGTGTGTGATAAAAGAGGCGGCAGCAGTGGATGTCGGAGCAGGAAGCAGGTTATTAATGGTATGTATGACAAAGCAAGGAGAGTTATAACTGCAGAACTGTGTGTGTGTGGAATATTTATATAATATATATATATATTTTTTTTTTCCCAGGTGTGTTTTGACTACACAAGTGTATCCATCGCTAACTTGTATCAACAGGCAACTTTTGTACACAAATAATAATAATAATAATAATAATAATAATAATAATAATAATAATAATAATAATAATACTCACACAGAAATCCCACTAACGTGATATTTATCCATGAGGTGAAGAAGGCTCAAATGAAAATAGGGCGAGCAAACTTAAAGTTAGTAATAGGGGGAATAATGGGGACAGAAATTAGCCAATCAAACATTGGGGTAAAGCTTTGGGAGAACTGGTCGAGAACTGGTAGAGTTCTCATGGTTATCCGGTGCTAATTGGCGAGTCTCCATCTACGTGAAGGTAAAGGAAAAATGCCGGAAACCCTGCGCGTACTAGTGGCTTTACAAGATTGTAAATACTACGCTATGTATTCTCTCAAACCCAATGTACCTTCTTGTATATAAATAAATAAATAAATATGTACTGAAGTCGTTATTCTGAATATATAGGATTTACTTAAAGAAAAAACGACCCACCTTAAATATATAGAATAAGGACGTCGCTATATTTCAACATACTGTATATGCATTTGTTCAAATATGTACAAATATGTATTTGTTGAAACTGATTACATGTTCCGATGAAATCATTAGTGGTATGCAGGCGATGAGTCACAATGCCGTGGCTATCTTGAGGTTATCTTGAGATGATTTCGGGGCTTTTTAGTGTCCCCGCGGCCCGGTCCTCGACCAGGCCTCCATCCCCAGGAAGCAGCCTGTGACAGCTGACTAACACCCAGGTACCTATTTTACTGCTAGGTAACAGGGGCATAGGGTGAAAGAAACGCTGCCCATTGTTTCTCGCCGGCGCCTGGGATCGAACCCAGGATCACAGGAACACAAGTCCAGCGTGCTGTCCGCTCGGCCGACCGGCTCAAAGTATGTTGACCAGACCACACACTAGAAGGTGAAGGGACGACGACGTTTCGGTCCGTCCTGGACCATTCTCAAGTCGATTGTGAGAATGACAATCGACAATCGACTTGAGAATGGTCCAGGACGGACCGAGACGTCGTCGTCCCGTCACCTTCTAGTGTGTAGTCTGGTCAACATCACTGGTAATTCTTGAATTGACTTAAATACCTTTTTTTTTTTTTGAGATATATACAAGAGTTGTTACATTCTTGTACAGCCACTAGTAAGCGTAGCGTTTCGGGCAAGTCCTTAATCCTATGGTCCCTGGAATACGATCCCCTGCCGCGAAGAATCGTTTTTTCATCCAAGTACACATTTTACTGTTGCGTTAAACAGAGACTACAGTTAAGGAATTGCGCCCAGTAAATCCTCCCCGGCAATCGCGTTTGTTTTCATGTACGCAGTAAATAAATCTTGTTTATGGAACATATTTACATAAACCTGATTTACGCTCTTGATAACAACATTGCGGTGTTTTGCTGCCTATTGTAACGTTTGTGTGTATATATTTACATGCAAAATCATGCTACATAAATAAGATAAAGAGACAAATAAACAAAACAAGAACAAATGTACAAAGTAGCAGAATAATAAGTCACAAACCAAACACATGAATAAAGACATAAGTACATAACTTTAGGTGCTTCCGGGGCTTAGCGTCCCCGAGGCCCGGTCGTCGACCAGGCCTCCACATAGCACCAAATACATACAGAAAGATAATACACAAGGCAGTCCGCAACGGACACCACATCACCCACACGATACAGGTCAATACATATTTACAAGGAAAACGTCTGAGAGGCCTACAACATATACATAAAATGAGAGGCCTTCTAAGAGAAGTTCCGGATCAGCCGGGCTGTGGTGGGTATGTGGGCCTGCGGGGCCACTCCAAGCAACAGCCTGGTGGACCAAACTCTCACAAGTCAAGCCTGGCCTCGGGCCGGGCTTGGGGAGTAGAAGAACTCCCAGAACCCCATCAAGCAGGTTCAAGCAGGCCTACACCTGTCTGGAAAATCAGGCCTAGAATATCTTATACAATACGCCTCCTATACCGACCTAACATCCTGGGTTAGGTAACATCCACCGACCGCCCGGCGGCGGCACAGGGCGCTGCATTAATTCCGGAATATCACAAATGAAACTTTTCACACTTTTGTACCCACACAGGTGAGAGGATCACAGGGTCCAGCGGCACACCGACCCTCCTTACCTGGATGATTACCTTGAGGTGATTTCGGGGCTTAGCGACCCCGTGGCCCGGTCGTCGACCAGGCCTCCTCGTTGCTGGACTGGTCAACCAGGCTGTTGGACGCGGCTGCTCGCAGCCTGACGTATGAGTCACAGCCTGGTTGATCAGGTATCCTTTGGAGGTGTTTGTCAAGTTCTCTCTTGAACACTGTGAGGGGTCGGCCAGTTATGACCCTTATGTGTAGCGGAAGCGTGTTGAACAGTCTCGGGCCTCTGATGTTGATAGATCCTCTCAGAGTACCTGTTGTCGGGGCCCTCGACACAGGGCCCGACCCCACGGCAGCCACCGACACGGCGCCCTTCAAACACACCGACGACCCCCCAGAAGGGGGCGGCAGCACAATGGACGAACGCGCAAGAGGCTGCGATACAAAGGCCGAAGCCGCCGGGGACGGTAAGCCCACCCGGAACACACCCTTCTTCAGGACCACCAGCAGGTCACGGGCCTCACCAGGTACTGCAGGAGGGGGCACCACCTCCCACTCCGGGGAGCCCACAGCAGGGGGGCACAGCAGGGCGCTCACAGGAATCAACACAGAACCCCCCAATACCTGCGCCCGCATCCTCTGCATTTACCTCTGCAAAAAAACTTTATTTTTTATATTTTTTTGATGCCGGTGGTGTGCCATCTCTGTGTTATAGATGTGGTGAGAGTGCCGGTGTTGTGGGCCCTGGTGTGTGAGCGAGGCACCGAGTGCCTGGTGCCTGGAGATGATTTCGGGGCTTAGCGAGCCCGCGGCCCGGTCGTCGACGCTCCTCCGCGGCCCGGTCGTCAATCGTCCTCTGCGACTCGGTCGTCAAAAGGGCCTCCGGGTCGACGGGTTCACTGTATTGGTGTCATGTTTATTGTTGTTATTTTAGATTTGGCTACTCAGAACGAAATGTCCATGTAGCACAGGCTATGGTGAGCCCGTAATTGAGTTCGGCTATTCGCGATAACCTTGTTACTCTGATATTTGGATCAAAGGTTTAAATGGAGGTGGGGTTTCCTCCTTTTTCCCCGTTTCTTTTTCGCTTCTGCTTTAGTCGTGGGTTTGATGTGTTTACCTGTTGCTATATATATGTCGTCCGTGTGTTGGTGGGCGGCTTTGGTGTGGTCCAGTTTCCTTTTGTTTGTTGTGTTATGTTTCCTGCATAATTCTGTTACACTCGTGTGCTTCTCATTTATTTTGTTTTTACTTTAGTATTGCATGTAATGTTGTTTCTCTGTATTCCTCTGTTCTGGTGCTTTGGTGCCATGCTTTTTTATGTTGTATTTATATGTTGTTGACCAGACCACACACTAGAAGGTGAAGGGACGACGACCACGTTTCGGTCTGTCCTGGACCATTCTCAAGTCGATTGTGATCACAATCGACTTGAGAATGGTCCAGAACGGACCGAAACGTCGTCGTCCCTTCACCTTGTAGTGTGTGGTCTGGTCAACATACT